TGGGAATGACTGTTTATCATATTGGCTAAGTCACCTGATGGTACCCGAAGGGGAAGAGCTGAAGACATTTATCAATGGAAACACCTGGAAAGGTTTTATTGTTCCTTTTGGGGTTGGAAGGAGGGCACGATTAGTACTCTTTTGACTACGATCTTGCCGAATGAGGAAAAACGGATGAACATGCCAAGTAATCGGGGATTAGCCTGCCCGAAAGAAGATCTTGGATGTCGGATACCAATGAATAAAGGTGTAATAAAATTATCCGAACTACAAGTTAATTTTGTCGGGATAAATTTTTGGGGGGCATTTGTAATCCACGACCCAAACTAGACCCCACAATAGACGTCAAGTGTGAAGGTTGGTTAGTAGAAGAAAATTGAGATTTTTGGTGAGTTTAAATAAATGAAAAGACTTACCGAAACGAAGGAAATCTTATCCAAACAATAAAAATATTCAAGGTCAGATATTATTTCAGATTCAAAAACACTACATGACATTCATCTTCATATTCTTCATTGTGTTTCTGTTATTTTTCTCTGCATTTTCTTTTATTCAAGAAGATTAATTTTCCAGCTGCTTTATCAATTAAAATTCCAATTTTAGCTTATTCCTCGCGTTGTTAGTTTTAGATTTTAGTTTCTTATTCGGATATCAAGAGATAGCCAATATCCCTTTTTGAGAAGATTGAGAAACCCTTCGAAAAAATCAATTCTTGCAGGCTTTTTTGATCAAGCCGCTGAAGTTGATTTTTCTATGACAACAATCAAAAAGTGAAATTGCATAATTTACAACCACAATCTTGCAACTAAAGACAACAACCAAAATAAATTAAAATTCGAAACAATAAAAAGCCCAAATCACATACTTTGTACTTCAACCAAATGTCATATGTAGTAGCATAAATAGCACCGCAGACCAACAAGGTCCCAAAAATAATTTTCAGCCCAAAATCCTGTAACCCGGTCCAACCCAAATCACTCCCTTTCAGCCCAATAGTTTAGGCATATTAGCCCCAAACACAAATCAACCCCCGGCCCAAATCCCATCCAAAATCCCAGCCTACTTTAAGCCCGTCAAACAGAACCCAAATGCCAAACCCTTGAGCCCAATTATCTAAAAATAACCATAAAGACTCAGACCAAAACCCAATCAAACTCAATATTCATTTTAATTACCATTACTCGTGAATTTGTACTTAAAATGTATAAGTCATGATGATAAAATTGTCTATTGTATTCCTAATGTCACGGACCGCCTGCTTGTTCCTCGAACACCGTCCGTGCGGCCTAGCAACTTCCGAACACTTAGAGGTCGCTAGTACAACATTTTCTCGAACAACTTCAAGAACACTCAAGAACACGATCAAGAACACTCAAGAATCATAGAGAGAGGAAGTAGTGAGAAAAAGTATATGTTATTGCTCTCAACTTGATGATTTACAAATGAGTACTACCACCTATTTATACAAGTCCATAATCTTCCAACTATCATCTACCTACCATCTACCAACCTCCACCTACCATCTTTCACCAACTATCTACCAACCTCACCTACCATCTTCTACCAACCCCCAACTACCATTTTCCACCAACTATCTACAAATCCTCAACTACTTCATACAAATTCTAGTTTTATTTACAAGGTCTCGAACTAGCCTCCGGGTTTTGGCTTATTCTCTCGGTCATCTTCGGTCACGGATTTCGGTCCGTGACACTAAGATTTAATTGATTAGTGCCTAGAGATGTCAAATGGGGCAGGTTAGCGCCGGACCCGCCCTGGACCTGATCTTAATGGGGCGGATTTGGATTTAAAAGATTTGGTTTAGGGCGGGTTGTGGATTTTGAGTTTTAGACCCGGCGGGGTTCGGGGCCGGTTACGAGCTTTACTAAAAATCCGCCCCTCATCAGACCCCGACCCGAAGTTGGATATTTTAATAATTATTACTACTTCCGTCCAGTTCTAAGGGTTTCATTTACATTTTGCGAATGATCTTTAAATATTATTATTATATGAAAATATTATACAAAATAAGAGAAAATATAGACAAATACTTATATTAGTATCTTATAATATTATTATAATAATATTTGTGCAAAAAATTATATAAATATAAGGATATTTTAAATGTCAAGTACGATGACACAAGAGGTAAATGAGACTTTTAGAGCCGAACGGAAGGGAGTATAATTTATTTATATTTTTATATAATATAAATCATATTATTTATTTATTTAAAAAATCTTAAACATAAAATAAAACCTTAATTTTAAATCAAATATGTGTTTACATTTGTTTCTCCAATAATTCTCTTTATAATCAGGATTACAGCTGACCACCATCACTGCCGACTATTGTCAATATTTGATTGTTCTTATTTTAGAACTATAATTTTTTTATTATTTTTTTTAAAAAATTATACTTATTTTATTGTTTTCTTAAAACAAAACCGGATTTGTCGCGTTCGGGGGAAGACGGATTATGAGGGCAGGTTGAAGCGGGTTGGAGCGTGTCTTAGATCATAATATTTTCTAGCGAAGCCGACCTTGGGGTCTGCAAAACCCGTCTCGAAATCGCCCCATTGACATCCTTATAGTGGCCTTTTGTATTCCACATATAAAATTCAACAAATCTAATTAATGTCCATGTGAGAGATTGTGAATATGGTAGCATATCTTATATTAAGAATGAACACATAATTCATCTGATTTTCTATTTTCCATCAATCGTATTTCGATTCTATATTAATTTGCACACTACGGCTTTTAAAGGACGTGGAAATAGCGATCCGACTAAAATTCATGCAAATATATGCATGTGTTCACGAGTGAATTATATAAATGATATGTCAATATAGATAGTGACGGAACCAGCTTTGCGGCTTCGGGAGGCAAAATTGTTATGTTTATTTGTTTCATTTTTTTACCGTTTATTTTTAGTTTCAACTTATTTTGAACATATTTTTTATTTGATCGGTTGTTTCTGTGTGTACAAAAAATAATATAAGAACTTTCTTATCGATTCATTTATATCAACTTGATGTCATCTTAACTTTTTCAATTTTTATTAACACTATAATGTGGTTGTGAAGAAGAAAAAAATAAACGGAAACAATATTTAAGATAAAATATTTTATTTTTTATATAATATATTTATAAATAAAAATATTATATATTATTATAAATTAAAATAATAATAATATAAAGGTTTATGTAGAGTTTTAATTCCAAATTGAGGGGACAAATTTGATTACTAAGGCCATCTCCAACCTGTCGCTTCATTTTTGCAGTGGCTACAGTACAAATGCAGTTGATGTACAGTAGTTTTACTCAAACCATAAACTTCAATTTTTACTTCAAAAATTATATTCTTTATATATTCTTCTTTTATATTATTTTATATAACTTTTCATATTTATAAATTACACTCCAACTTTAATTATTTTTACATTATAATCCATACACATAAATTTATATTTTATTTAAAAATTACATATATTAAAATTAAAATTTATAATTAATAACTATTACAAATAAAATAATTTTAAATAAATAATAAAATGTTATCAAGACAAATAATTATTTAAAATAAAAAAATTGTACATAAATTTTTATAAAATAAAAGTACATGTAACTTTAAAAAAAAAATTAAAATTATCACTTTCCAAAAAGTAAAATTATATATTAATTTTAAAAATAAAATTATACATTATTTTTTAAAAAAATAAAATTATATATCTCTTTTCAAAAAATAAAATTATACATCACTTTTATAAAATAAAATTATACATTATTTTTCAAAAAAATAAAATTATACATAACTTTTTAATATATAAAATTATATATCATATTTAAAAAATAAAATTACACAATATATTAAAAAAAAATAACAAAAATACAAAAAATACCCTAAAATATCATAAAACCTCCACTCAAAAAATGAATTGGGGGGATTTGGGGGTGGGTTGGAGCCCCTCCAAATGCTGATAAGTTTAGGTTTTGCATATTTTGAATATACACACAATTCAAATTTAATTTTTTTTATTTGATTTTTGTGTGACAACGTATTCAATTACTATGAATAGCATTTTCAATTGTCACCGACATTCTTTATGTGGAGTTATTTTGGCCAATGATTTGGAAGGTTCGGGATGCACTCAACCTGATCCGCGCAACCCGAAAACTCAGATCCTGTAATCGCGACCATTCCCAGTTCTTTGTGAGACCGTCGGTTTATTGTTGGACCGTCCTCTTCAACCGGTTTGAATCAGTATATATATTTATATGCTGCGAACGGTTCATCAGACACTCACTCTCTTATTTTCTCACAACGCGATTCATCTCTCTAAAAACCCTAGCATCCCGACATCGACTTCAATTGATCTTCCTTGGGTTTTCTCCGGTGATCTGTCCGGCGAAGTGAAGGTTCGACTGTTGGCTTCGATGTACGGTCTGTTCTAAGGCTGTTCTTCGGTTTGGTTTTTTGATCTGTGCCTTCCTTACAGTGTATGGTGTATATTGTCTGTTTGGATGAGAACAGGCTAGATCGTTGATATTTTCCTTAGATCGAGGTCTGGTTCGCTTATGTGGATGTCGGTTGTTTTGGGTTTGGTTTGTGCACTACGGTTGATTTTCGGTTGTTTTTTTTTTTGGATAACCTGAATCCGAGCTAGTTGCTTTCGTAATATAAAAAATCATTTAAGTTCTTTGCTTGATTTGTATGTTTCTTGTAATATAAGGTTTGTCGATCTTGAATGTATAATAACACTTTACTTATTCTCAATCAAGCATAAATAAAAAATAAAAATAAAAAAAAATCAAAAATCAAAAATCAAAAATCAAAACATATTAATACAACACATTTCAAACAGAAACACCCAATAGAAAACTAAAAAATAGAAAAATATAAAATTGCTTTCACACTCAAACTTAATTTACTTCATTGAAAATAATAATAATAACAATAATAATAACAACAATAATAAAGATCAAATTTCATAATCATCACAACCCTATCTCGAAAGGCCCTCTTGACAAACTATACTTCTTCTTCTCCAACTTCTTGTCGACAGTAGAAAGTGTATGATTCAATGGCCAATCATACTTCTTCTCCATCTTCTGAAGGTCTTTCCCAAAGAAGATTCCATCGGGATTTACGGCCCAATAGCATTGACGGCTCGACTTCCCACACAAATATTGCCCGTTGAACTTGGGCGTGAAGGCTTCGATCTTAACATGAAGTCCAGGTGCATCGACCCGTGCAATATCGCAATACCAGTAGGTGCCCAGAAAACGGGTGCAGAAGCTGAAATTGAAGTCGTCATTCGGGAGCACAGTATGCGTGCCGATGTCGTGATCCGGCGAGTTGCAATGCACGCTTATCGACTCTTGGGTCGATACATGGTTTACGATGTGGACTACGAATCGCTTGCTAAGAAATCCACAAGGTGAGACTACTGTAAAAATATTGCATACCAACAACACCAACAATGGAACACCTTTTTTGTATGTATCCATACTCTACTCTTTTCTTATTGTTTTTGTTTGATGAAGATTTTAATATCAGCTTTGTGTATTTATAGGGACTTTTTCTTTTTTCTTTTTTTTTTTTTTTTTTTTTTTTTTTGGTTATGCATTTAAGACATTTTTATTGCATGTAATTATTTTTTTGTTAGGTGAATTAAATACGGTTGCATTGGAACTCTTTTTGGCAAGAATTATTATTATTATTACTCCCTCCTCTGTTCCATAACAGGCGCTCATTTCTATTTTTGTTCGTTCCAAAACGAGAATACTATTTAGTAATTTAGTAATTCTACTACCTACCTAACATAATAAATACATTTACAATTTTCAATATATTGCACAAATGTTATTATTTTTTTATTACACAATTACTAATAGGAGTATTTTTAATTTTTCTATTTCACTACAACTCAATATTATACTAATATTTAAAATCTACGTGCAAAAATCACATGTTACTCTTTTCTTAGGACCGAAGTATTATTATTATTATTATTGTCAATTTTTATTTAATTTTCCATTTATTTTTTTCTTCATGGCATTTTAGAGTTACTCCAACCCACCGCGGGAGGGACTCCAACCCACCCCCAAATTCCTCCCCCCCCCCCTCCCATTTTTGCAGGAATATGCTCCATTTTTGGAGTGAAATTTTTGTGGTGTTTTTTATATTTTTGGTATTTTTTTGGTGTATTATATAATTTTAATGTTTTAGTAGATGATATATAATTTTATATTTTAAAAAATTGTATGTAATTTTATTTTTTTAAAAAAATAATGTATAATTTTATTTTTTAAAAGTGATATAATTTTAGATTTTGGAAAATAATATATATTTTTATTTTTTAAATTGATATATAATTTTACTGTTTGAAAAGTGATATAATTTTTATTTTTTTAAAAGTGATAGTATTTAATTATTTATTTAGAATTATTTTATTTGTAATAGTTATTAATTATATATGTAATTTTTAAATAATTTATAAATTATATGTGTATGGATCTAATGTAAAAATATATTAAAATTGAAAGGTAATTTATAAATATGAAAAGTTATATAAAATAATATAAAAGATGAATATATAGGAATATACCTTTTAGAGTAAAAATTGAGCATTTTTACTGTAGCAACTGCAAAAAAAAAAAATAGAATGGAAGGTTGGAGATGCCTTATATGTCTAATTTTCATCCTTTTTAATAAAACATAAGCGTCTATTATTTTAAAAAATAAAAATATAGGCGCCACATTCGGTTATAAAAAATAAACAAAAATATAGATATGTTTTCAGCACCTCTAATGTAAATATAAATAAATAAGGAATGTTGTCGGCGCCCAATCCTCCTCATTTCTTGCTCATCTGTCTTAGTAAGTGTTTCCTTGCTTACACTCGTTCTTGCTATTTTCTAAATATAAATAATTTTATTAATCTAAATATAATTAACATAAAACATAACGTGACTATAAAATTTTTTTTATCTTACTAATATTTTATATAAAATTATTCCAAAAATAAATACAAAAAATAAAAGTTAAAACTAAATTTTAATTATTGATAATGATAAATACCATAGATGTGTTATGAATTTGTTTATCCTCACAAATTTTTAATCACAGATGTTAATAATATTCTCTTCATCCGTAAAATTAATCTCATTTTTTTGTAAATATGTAAAAGAACTGGGTCAAATTTACTCGACGAGGGAGTATTACATTATTTTTTCTTACAAAATAATTCAATTAAATATTTTAATATAATATTTTTACAATTCTCAATAACAAATGATAATAATAAGAATAATAATTCTAAACACTAAAAAGTATGCAACTTTTATTTTTTGAAAGATAAAATATAAATTCTAATACAAAATATAAAATCAAACACCCTAATAAAAAATATTTGATATGTTTTATGATTAATATTCTTAAAAAATATATTCAATATATACACATCAACATGCTCTATATATTCTACAAGCTTATCAAAATTTAACAATTTAACAAAAAAATTATTTTTTATATTGTCAACACACTTTTAATACCTAATATAAAAAAAATATCTCAAATTAAAAATAAAAACAAATATTCTCTTTGTTCCACCTTAATGTATACATTCAATTTTCATCAATTTCGGTTAACGTATACATTTATTTTCTTTTAGTAACTATGGAGCCCATTTTTTTTTGTTTCGAATACCCTATTTTACTATCATATCATTACTTTTACACTAAGGGTGTGTTTGTTTGGGGGTTTGGATTTTGGATTGGGATTTGAATAGTAAAAATTTTGAATTTGAATAGTTGTATGATGTGATATAAATAGGTGTTGATGTGATATTTTAAATGTAAAATTGATTTTTAGTATAATATAAAAAATAAAAAATAGGTGTTTGATTTGATATTTTTTGGGGGAAAATTTTGGATGAATAGTAGAATTTTGACAAAATCCTACAAACAAACACACCCTAAAAATAATTATTTTACACTATTTTTAACTACTCACTACAATTAAAATATTATAATTATATATTTTTTAAATTTCTCACCAAAAGTAAGCATACACTATAATGCGGAACGGAGGGAATATATTTTTATTTTTTTATATTATATTAAAAATAATTTAATATATTTATAAAAATATCACATCAATACTTATTTATATCACATCAAAATATAAAATTTTATTATTTTAAAATTCAAGCTTAACTTTCAAATGTATGACCAAATGAACACTAAAGAAAAAAAAAAAAATTGAAGTATGTGATTTAAATTATTATTTGTTAATTATTAATTTCTTAGGAAATATGTCCAAATTTGTGGGACGGCTAAAAAAAAGAAAGGTGGACCAATTTTACAGGACAAGGTATTACTCTCTTCGTCTCAAACTATAGTTTGGGTTGTGTTTAACACGAGATTTAGGAAATATTGATATTATATTGGTAGTGGGTAAAAAATATTGGTAAATTTTTTTTTTGCCCTTGTGAGTATATTAGTGTAAAAAGTAGTGGTAATTGTGTAATAATAATGAAAAAGTAAAGGTAGTTTTATAGTGATATGATTATTTATGAAAATGAGACTATTGTTTTGAAAACGACAAAAATAGTAAACAAGACTATTGTATTAGAAGGAAAGGAGTATATCTAACTAACATAACGAGTTTCATTAAAAAATATTAACAAAAAGATAACAAAGCATTCACAAAATATTCATCTATACTGTAAACAAGCATTAGAAGAAATTTCATCAATATTTTTTTTGGTCAATGTCATTTAATAAAAAAATAAAAATAAAAAGTAATTAATTAAAGTTTAAATATATAAATCAGTGATTTTTTTATATTATGTATTTTAAATAAATGGATAAATATTATTTCAATAAAAATGAAATGAACCTACTTATGTTAAGAAAAATATATCTAACAAACATAACAAATTTCATAAAATAAAAAAAATAAAATAATAAAAGATAACAAAACATTTATCTCAATTGTAAACAAACATAAGCAGAGATTGCCTAGTGTGACTTGCCCGTTGAGCCTGATTTGCAGGATATTAGGTTCGACCTGAAGTTTACCCAGTACGCACTTTCGGGTAACGGCTGTGGATCCCCCGTCATCCAAATATATATATATATATATATATAAGCAGAGATTGATTAATAACAACTCTCAACAGACAAATGAATCTAATATTACTTAACACCAAATGAACCAAAATTTGAACAACAGAATATATTAAATACGGGATAAAAATGAACTTGGCAAATCTAAGACCACTTAAAATTGAAAACCAAACAATATTATAAACAATGAGCCCGTTTGACAAACAACTTATTGAATAGCTATTAGGTTATCAGACAACTTCTAGCTATTTGGTAAATTAGTTGTTTAAAAGAGCGGATCGAGACAAAAAAGCTAATATTAGAAAGCTTAAGAGAGTATTTGGTAAACAACTTTTTCAAGAGCTTTTAGCTTATTGAAGAATTAGTTGTTTGATCAGTAAATCAACTAATTTTGGTATTTGGTAAATTAGCTTTTTCAATTAGCTTACTGAGTTAAAAAAACTAATTTTGAAAAAGCTGTATATACCAACGTTTCAGATTAGCTTTTTCATTTTAATTTTTTTTATCCCTTATTTGCCCTTAAAATTAATTAATTCTTTCACATATATTCATGTATTTTTTTAATTACACTATTTATTAATTATTTAGATATATTTTCTTCTAATAACTTATAAATTCATATTTATAAATTTAAAATAACTATTTTTTTATATATCAATTATTTTATTTATAATTTTTTTTAATTTTTTAAAATAAAGATAATATAAAAATATTAATATTATTAAATTATTATATAGTATTTTTTATCACATAATATCTTTATTAAAAATTAATAGATTTATTTAAAATTATAAATTTAATGTAAATATATATTAATTAAAAATTAATCTAATAAAAATATATATGTTAATAATTTTTGCTCTTATATATATTTTATATTATTTCTAATAAAAAATATATTTTTTAATAAACTTGTATTAATTATTTTCAAAATATTTTTAAAATAATAAAAATAAATATCTTACTAAATTTTCTCTAATTTTTAAAATTAATAATAAAATTATAAAAAATTCTACCCACCGAAAAAACTCAACTAAATATTTTAAAAATAAAATATAAAATGTCTTTAATTGTCATTTTACGTATAAACAGCTAATATCAAACCGTTATTTTACCAAACACTTTAATGCAAACAGCTAATCGAATCAGCTAGTCAAATCCGCTAATTGAATCAGCTAACAGCTAATTGGCAAACACACCCTAAAAGGGTGTTTGACAAAGAGCTTTTTGAAAAACTTTTAGTTTATGGAACAACTTTTAGCTGTTTGACCAGTGAAACAACTAATTAAGGTGTTTCGTAAATTAATTATTTAAATAACTTTTTGGACCAAAAAAGCTTATTTCTAAAAAGCTAACTTACCCAGCATTTTGAAATAGCATTTTCAATTTAAAGTTTTTTATTCCTTATATACCCTTAAAAAAGTATTTTATACAAATATATTTTGACTATTTATTAATTATATTAGAATATTTTATTATATTATAGTTACTTTTATAAATTTAAAATAATTAATTTTTATATAAAAATTATTTTAATTATAAAATATATAAATTTATTAAAATCAACATAAAATAGAAAATATAAATATTACTAATTTATTTTAATATTAACATTACATTATATAAATTTTATACTAAAACTAAATTAAATAAATTAAATTTATTGAAAATTATGAATATAATGAACTAATCGATAATTAACGTAATAAATATATACACAAAAAATTTATTATTTTATATTTTACATTATTTTCAATAGAAAAAACTATTTATATTTTTCAATAAAAAAATATTTTTTTAAAATCTAACTATAATAAAAATAAATATTTCCTCCGTCCGCCAAATTTATTCTCACTTTCCTTTTAAATCTGTCTACTAAATTTATCTCATTACTAATTTTGACAAAGTCAACAAATCAACATTTTATTATAATCCTCCATTCAACACTTATTTATAACAAATGTCACTAACTTTATTATATTATCTCTCTTCATTTACTTTACATTTTACTAAATTTTTAAAAATACCATCAACTACCTTTCACTTTTTCAATAAAATATTCATTTTTCTTAGTTCTCGTGTTGAGTCCAAATGGGCTAATTTTAATGGACGGAGGGAGTACTATTTTATAACACTTTTACAATTTTCACTAATTAATAACAAAAAATTTCAAACATTCTAAACTCAAAAGAACACAATTGAATAAATTAGAAAAAAATAAAATAGAAATATCATCATTGTCATTTTACGTATAAACAACTAATATCAAACAGTTGTTTTACCAAACATTTTAATACAAACAACTAATCAAATCAGCTAGTTAAACTAACTAATTGAATCAGCTAACAGCTATCAGCTAATTGCCAAACACGCCCTAAATATGTAGCATTTGAGAATGGTGTCTCCAATCTTGTTTGTTTTGTTTTTTTTTTTTTTTTTTTTAATTTGTCCTTTTAAATCCTAATTTCTCTTTTGCACTTTTTTCCACTTTTAATTTTCTTGCTATATTGCACATTTCGACATCTTCTCCTTTGCCAATTGAAAGGTAAATTTTTATATATTTTTTGTTAATAAAATTTGGTGTTCATGTTCATAATATAGGAGTTACTTTAAAATTTAGTTTATATAATGTTGGGAAGAATAAGGTGCTGCACCAAATCACTCTCGAACACCTATTCAATGGCCAATTCCCGAAGCGTAATTATATCACAGTTATAACGACGACTTGTCAATGAAATAAATGCAGAGACCAAAACAATAAATGACAAGTTATTTATTTACCCGGTTCGGATATAAACCATTCTACATCCGGTGGATACCAATTCAAGAGAGATTCATTAATATGTGTTGATTAAGAACAAAACATCCAAACCTCCTTCAACCCAAACTACAAGCTGATTACCTAGGAAATTCCCTCCACAGACATATATTGTCACAAATGTGTACTGACAACTAAAAACTAGCTGGGCTGCTCAGATTCTAAATATTCTTCTGACCGGAACTCCAATCTCCCGTCGACCGACGAACTCTCCGGCAAGATGTAGTGTATATCACTCACTCAAAGCATGAAGATGAGAATGGAAGAAGTTGAGAGGATTGATACAATATTTCTCTCACTACACACCCTCTCAAAACAACTACTCTATCGTCCTTCCCACATACTGAGCTGTAAGTCGTCCACCACCAACAGGTGTGGAGTTGACATGCAATTAATTCCCTTGATACAAATAAGGAATAGTATATATCTATTCACTTCTGACCACAATAGGACAAACTCAAAGTGTCTATTTTACCTTGAAAATACACCATCTTAGGAAAGACAAAAAGACAATTTGATGGGACTTCACAAGCTGAGCCAAATATTGTTGTTTTTGGTATATAACGACCGCATCAACAAAAAGTGGATTTGTTAATATGCCAAAAATAGGTGATGAAGTTTTTGATCAACTTAACATATATTATGATTTATACTATTTTACACTTTGTTTCCATTGATGATTACTTTAACTTACTTCATTATTCTCCCATGAGAAATGAGAAATAATGCCACGGTTGTTTTGTATTCGATTGACTAATTATAGTAAGTTATTAATTAATTAATGCATTTTTTATATACTCCTTATGTCCCATTGAAAAATTGTCATTTTTCATTTTTGTTCGTCCCAAAATAATGTTATTATTTCCTAATTTAGTAATTGTACTATCTACCTAACATAATAGATACCCTTCCAACTTACACAATATTACACAAATACCATTACTTTTATATTACACAATATTAATAGGGGTATTTTTATCCTTTTCATTATAACCTATTATAATACTAATATTAAAAAAATATATGTGCAAAAAGTAAACAATAAACTTGCATCGGGACAGAGGGAGTATCATAATTTCTTACTAAAAAGTATCAATTTGTTACTGAGACAATATCCATGACCGTGTGTTTATTTATAATCTCACACTATAATTGATTATACTCCCTCCGTCCCATGTAATATGAGTGTATTAATGTAGACACGAGAATTTAGGTAAAGTATAATTAGTAAGTAATTAAGAAGTATATTGGTAAAAATAATTATTATTTAGTAAAAATAATTATAGATTAAGAGTAAAATAAATAAATAGTTTAATTAAAATTAAAAAAATTATAACATTTAAATTTAAAATAATTATATTTCCAAAAATAGAAAGGACAAATTATATGGGACATACGAAAATAGAAAATAGAAACAAATTATGTGGGACGGAGGGAGGGAGGGAATATTTACAATTGAGTCCGAACTTATAATTACACAATTGAAAAATAATGATGAATAAATTCATTCGATAATTAACAAATATTAAATTTCTCAATTTCAATGCTACTAATATCTTTTGAAAAATGATTTTGATGAATTTTCTATTAACCATCAATTAATTAGTACGGGCTGAATATATATAATTAGCTTACGTAACAAATGAGTATTTGGCGCAAAGGCTAGATATTTAAAAATAAAAAAATAAAATAAAATTCTCACCCATATTTAAAAGATATTTATGCAAAAAGGGAAGAGATGATCGATTTAACGATTTTAATATACGAATGCAAAAAGTTATTTATGTATTGAACAATATTAATTTATGCTCTCTCCGTCATCCAATTGTGTGCTTATTTGACCGAACACGAATTTTAAGAAAAATATGTAAGGATAAAAATTTTTACTTTTTTTGGTAAAGAAAAGTGGTATTTTTTTACTAAAAAAGGAAACGGGAATTTTGGATGACAACAAAAAAAGAAAAGTGAGAATAGATTTGGACGACGGAAGGAAGGAGTATTAATGATGATTTAACGCTAATGTAATTTGTATTGACACATTTATTTACTTAACACTCTATTTATACTAAAATTTAGCATGATGTGTATTAATAAAATAGATATTAATAAAAAATTTTACATATTATATACTTCAAATTATTCTTTAAGTATAGTCATATAAATAAAATAAATAGATAAAAAAAAAAAAAACTTATAATTAACTATACTTCAATTTAATAATAATAATAATAATAATAATAATAATTTAAACTTTATCAAAACTTATTAATCGAAAACTCTTTCAAACAAAAAACACATACCAGCTCTTCCCACATAATTTATCGCTATTTTTTATTTTCGTCTGTCCCACATAATTAGTCTTTTTTTTATTATTGAAATATGATTATTCACTTTAATTACATTTAAAATTTTAAATTTTATAATTGTTTTAATCTTAATTAAATTATTTACTTATCATAATCATAATCTATAATTACTTTTACTAAATAATAATTATTTTTACTAACACATTTTTTAATTACTTACTAATTAAATTTTACCTAAATTCTCGTATATACGGTAATACGCCCAAAATATATAGAACGGAGAGTAATAGAAAACTAAACAAGAATTTTTGCTCTCATTTATTTCATTGAAGTAAGAAAAAACAAAAAAGATGGTAATTTTAATCATCAAAATCCTATATCGGAAGGCCCTCTCGACAAACCATACATTTTCTTCTTCTCCCCGATATCAGAAAGTGTACCATTCAACGGCCAATCATACTTCTTCTTCATTTTCCGAAGGTCTTCCCCAAAGAAGAATCCATAGCCATTTACATCCCAATAGCATTGCCGCTTCATCCCACACGCAAAATCCCCGGCCATCTTCGACGTGAAGGCTTCGATCTTAACATGAAGCCGCGGTACAAGGACCAATGCAATGTCGCAAGTCCACTTGCTATCGGCCCAAAAACGGTTGCAGACGCTGAAATTGAAGTCGGCATGTGGGCGCACAATATGCGTGCCGATGTCGTGGTCTTTCGAGCTGCAATGCACGCTTATTTCCGTAACATCCCCTATATGGTTAAAGATATGAATATAGTATCGCTTAAGAAGAAATCCACAAGGGGAGACTACTGTAAGAATATTACATACCAATAACAATACCAACAATGGAACACCTTTTTTGTAGGGATCCATAGTTTTCTTTTTTTTTTTTTTTTTGTTTGATGAAGATTTCAATATCAGCTGTGTATTTATAAGAATTTTATTATTATTATTATTATTATTATTATTATTATTATTATTATTATTATTATTATTATGCATTTAAGATGCTTTTATTGCATGCAACTATTTTTTTGTTAGTGAATTAAATACAGTTGCATTGGAACTCTTATTTGGCAAGTATTATTATTATTATTACTATTACTCCCTCCGTCCCCAGAACTAATATCCATTTGCTTTTTACACGTAGTTTTAGAAATATTAGTATTATATTGGGATATAGTAGGAATAAAATAGAAATGATTAAAATAACCTTATTAGTATGTGTGATACAAAGGTAATGACATTTGTGTAATATACTGTAAGTTGTAAGGGTATTTGTAATGTTAGGTAGACAATACATACAGTTACTCATAAAGAAATGGATACTTTGTTATGGGACGGACTTAAATGGAAAAATGGATACTTTGTTATGAGAGGGAGAGAGTATTATTATTGTCATCTTTTATTTGACTTTCCATTTATGAATTATTTTATTTTATTTTTTGTTATCATTTAATGGGTTGTTTGGTTTATATACTTGGGTGAGATTCCATAGAATTTGGATTTTAAAATTTTAATGAATCTAAATGAAAGATTTTTTAATAATAGGGTACCTTTTACTTTAAAATCTCATTCTCATTGCATTTTATGTTTTACCATTAATGTGCCCTTGTATCCAACAAAAAAAATAAAAGAAATTCTTCTTTTTTTTAATATTATATGTGTATATATATTTATATTTAAATTCTATTTTATTGGTTCTACTACAAATACATATATGTATTTATAATCATCAATTCAATTTATATTTAATTATACTAATAATATTTTAAATAAATCAATAATTTAAATTTATTTGACTGATGTATTAATTTTGTATTTTTAGTTTAAAATATTTTTTTATATTAGATATGAGAAAGAACATTGGTAGTGTAAAATATAATATTTTATTGAAATTATTATATTTTTTAATGTAGTGATTATATATTATATATTTTGTATAAATCTCTCTCTATATGTTTATATTATATTATAATATTCTATTGATTGTAGGTTCAATTATAATTTTCGAATATTTTTTTTCCACTTTCGTAATTTAGGATATTATGTGTACTCCGAACATTATTTTTACCCTCTCGCCGGAAAAAAGCACGTGACCGTCACGTGCACCTTCGTGGCATGGCCGGCGCATACGTGGACTTCGCCGTTGTTGTGTTGTCATCCGCGTGGTCGTCGGACGGGTAACTTGGAATTTTTTTTTTTTTTTACTTTCGCAATTTAAGACATTATGTATACTTCGAGTATTATTTTTGCCCTCTAGCGCCGGTAAAATATTTTGTTCTAGTTTTTTTTTTTTCAATTTGGTCCAAATTGCAAATATGTTTTTATTTGCAATTTAGTCCAATTGGGCCAAATTAAAAGTTTAAAAAAATATAATTTTTTTTTTAAAAAATAATTCCACGTCACCGATCCGATGACCCTAGAACAAATTGTATTTTCGGAACCGAAGGGCAAAAAATAATAATGTCCTAAATTGCGAAAGTGAAAGAAAAATAATTTCACGTCACCACTACCACGCGGACGACAATACAGCAACGGCGATGTCCACGTATGCGCCGGTCATGCCATGAAGGTACACGTGACGGTCACGTGCATTTTTCCAGCGCCGGAAGACAAAAATAATGTCCGAAGTACATATAATGTCCTAAATTTCGAAAGTGAAAAAAAAAATGTTTGAAAATAATAATTTGATCTACATATATGACATCTTTTGCAATTTTTCATTATTATTATTATTAGGGATAAAAGAATAATTTTAACTTAGAAAAGTGTTTCTGCTTTTTTTGGACATAAGCTCGTACAAACAGTTAGAAATTATTATTATTATTATTATTATTATTATTATTTTTTATTTTTTTTTAAAGCAGGCCAATTTAGGGTTGGGTTTCTTTTCCGACATGAAACAAGCTCGATTGGATTCATTGTTTACTGAGTATTGTTCTAACTATTTGATTGAGTTACTCCAAACTCGATGTTTTGCTTAGGATGTGTATGGGTTGATTAAACTTCCTGATTTCTTGATTTTCTTTTTTTTTTTTTTTTTCAATTTTCTTATGTGTACATTAAAGTTCATGATTGCTCCTCAATTTTCTTTAGAAAATATTTATTTGTATTTTCACATATAATATCTCTACTTTGGTACTAAAATTTTCTGTCATATATGTCTTGTATATTGAAGTGTTCCCAGATTGAAATGTTATTCTTAGGAAAAACTAAACAAAGTCTTACGAGCAGAGGAAGTTTTTGCAGCTGTAGCAGGTTGTTGTTCGATCTAATGATTGATTCCTACAGACCATGTGGTATGGAGGAGGAAGCATACATTTTTCATACAAAACAATCAGTGAAAAGCTTGAGGTCCAGTTTCTATGAGCATACTTGTGAAAGCTTTGGTAGGGTTTGATAATAATCACTACAAAAAAATAATATATTTGTAACGGAATTCCGTCCCTAAAGTTCACGTAGCTAACGTAATTTCATTACTAATTCCGTCTCTAATGTCATTAGTAACGGAAAAAGTAGATTTAGAGACAAAAAAATTTTGTTTACAAAAATGATTTTTTCAGGTAGTGAATGTAATATAATTCTTTTTCTTCTTCTTTTTTTTTTTTTTTTTTTTTCATTCTACTTTTCAATTACCTCAAACAGTTAGAATGCTAATGCTTGCTTATATGAACCAAGAGCCTCGCATACATCAGTTCGCTAAGGAATTTCGCAACGGACTTGCTGAGATGAAGGTTGTCATGTCTGAAATTAAAGCTATTCAGGAGAAAATGGCTGAGGACAAGGTAGAAATATCCGAGTGGATGAATTTTTTTTATTGGCCCATCTCTACAAGCCCTATAAGTATGGTGAAATCTCTACGTAAATTATGTAGAAAATTTCGTCAATAAGTACTTGATATGAATCCAATGTGTATTTATGAAGGTAACTAACCACACCGGAAGAAGGGCCAAGATAATGGGAATCCAATGTGTTTTTGTAGTCTCATTCTTTGTTTTCTTTTAATTTTTTTTACAAGGAGTGATTTGTTTTTGTGTTATGTATTTAACATGAAGTTTTGTTTTTTATTGTAAGGAAGGGGGGAAAATTTTGATACTTTAACTGTTTGTCTTTTGAAATTCTTTTAACAACATAAGGTTCCATTAACATGTAGCTACAATACTTATCTGATGAAATGCCGGCACAGATTGTGTCATGGATTTGAGGCTTGTTCGGTTTATTTAATACATATAAGAATTTGATGTTTTATGTATGCCAATAAAAGTTAGTCTTAGTTAATTCAATTTTGAGTTGGATAGATTTATATATAACGATTAATATTTGGTGAGAACAACAAACAACTAGCACATGCAACTTGTTGTCTTGTTAAGTTTTTTTTATAATTGTCTAAGTTTAGAGCGATAATTTTCATGATTTTTACATCGATTTAATTAGTTTAAAATACCCAAATCGATGATAGAAGAAAAATTAGGTAAACTTTTTGGTGAATTTGCATGGGAGCTTTCACTCATAGAGAATTGTCCACTGGCATTGATTTGTATAAAAAAACTATTGAATTAAATTTTTTCTACAACTATGATTGTGATTCTTCATATTGATTCCCATTATCTTTTGTTGTTATATAGCATTCTCACCTTTGCTGCTGGTAAGGACTTTCTGGACAATATTCATGTGAAATTGGACATTGATGCTCCCGGCACACTTGGCAATAACTGTTGGTATTGCACTAAGTTGATCTTGTAGCCTGTTGATATTCATCAGCCAAAATCTGTGGTTACCTTTTCAGGAATTGTCTTCAACAATTATGGTGTTATAATGGCCTATTTTGCTTCTCTAAGTTGGAAAGATTGAAGAAGAGTTCTCCAAGCTTGTTGGAAGCATCAAAATTTTTATAATTGATTCTAAAACAAGTTTAGATATGTTATGGTGATATTTTGGTACGATAACTCTTCGTGTTTCTATAATTATTTTACAAGTTCATCTAATGACACTAAATAAGTATTATTGCATATTCTATGGGTATGAAAACTATGAAATATATTTGTATGTGTTGTTGTGTACATATTAGAATATAATTAATTTAGGATTTATAGATTGAAAAAGTGATATCTCATCCTCTTGATATCATATGAAGACTAAACTATTGTGTCCTTTGATAAACTACTTAGGTTTATCATGACATCGTATACGTACTGCAACAAATCATAATCTTCTATAGAATTTCTGTAAAATACATGTATTATGTTGGAGAACATGTCTATTTTTGTGGTCATTTAACTATTTATTATTTGTAAGTATGTTGATATATTAAGGTGGTTACTATCGAATGAATAGAGGTTTATGAAATATTTAAGAATGTACAATTACGGCATACATATATAAAACTTAAATAGAAGTATATGAGCAATGAATATGAGTACATAGAATCATAGGTAGAACGTGTTGAGATTTTTTAAATATTCGGTTTTAGATTTTTTAAATTTATATTTATATTTAGTTTTATTCATAGATAAGATTACTTAGATTTGAGTCTATCGAATTCGTTTTATATTGTCCATATATGGGCCATTTATCTTGATGATCAATAACACAATTTCATTATTTTCCCCTAAAATTTCTAATATGGTATCAAAGCCTATTTTTATCATGCCGTAAATATAGTCTACCAACTCGCGTTTCTCCGGGTACATTCAACCTGGGATTACCACAGAGGTTTTACAATTTTGAGATTTTGACCATGGTTTCTAGTCTTTTTAATCTACGATTGAGGTTATGTCAGCGCATCTGCCTGCGATTTTGCAACCCGTCTGCTACGTTTCTTAAAGTCATGCTTCTTATTGCAATGAGAGTCTTGTTATTTCCAACTTTGTGGAGAGTACTCCCATTATTTTCGATTCCAGTAGAGAGTCATGTCATTTTTTGCTCAAGTAGAGAGTCATGTCATTTTCAACTCCGTTGTGAGTTTTATTATTATCGACTCTAATTCAGTTGAAAACATTGTTTCTAGCTTTGACACGGTAGAGCAGCGGCGGCAACAGTAGACAAGCAACTATTATTTGTATTTGCGTCTTTTGGGTTCATATTCAACTTTTTTATCAAATCTTTTGGGTTCATATTCAACTTTTTTATCAAACTCAAGTTGATTTTTGATATACCACTTGAATTTGAGGGGGATGTTGAGATATTTTAGATATTCGATTTTAGATTTTGTAGATTTATATTTAGATTTGGTCTTATCCATAAATAAGATTACTTATATTTGAGTCTGTCAATTCCGTTTTGTATTGTCTATATATAAACTCATTTATCTTGATGATCAATAACACAGTTTCATTATTTTCCCTTAAAATTTCTAACAGAACGGATATCATATAAGTAGAAAAGGATGTCTTAGAAGTATATAAAATAACATTATGAGTCTTTAAATACATTTTAGAGGTACATCAAATCTATAACAAGCCGATTGAAGAAGAAATATAAAATAGTGACCAATATTAAATTAAATAAGTAAAAGGAGCTCAAACCAATTTTTTTTATAACGGGTACTAAACTGAAACTTAGCATGGGTGACAGAGAGGGTACATACCAACTCTCCCTAAATAATTTGATACTTTTACTTAAAAAAAAAAAAAAATTGAAATGATAGAAACCCTAGCTATAACTAATTATCCAGACATACAAGTTTGCATAGCAATACAGCAATGGTATTATTAGAATATCATAATTTTCAACCAAAAAAAAAAAATTTGCCAAATTCCAAAGCTTTTGATGCACTGTGTCATTCTTGAAACGTTGAGCTATATATGTCAGATTTCTAAGCCTTGACATTATCCGATGACAGAAATCGTTGGCCAGGAGCCCAATTTGCTGGAATTGCATCTTTTACAAGAATTGTCTGCCCTGATTCGATCGTCGATAATCTGATGCTGTAAGGACCTTTTGCGCCGCTCGGGAGATCGGCTTTCCATGTATCCCCAAATGATTGTTGCATTGAAATCGGTCCGGAATTTGAAGGCAATAGCTGCATGCTACCAACGTCTCCATCTCCGTTAACATATTCGACTGCCAAAGCTAAGTACCATGGATTTGATCCTTTGTCGATCGTAATCTCTATGCCGACTTTGTAATGGCAAGCTACTCTGTAAAATTCAAATTATATGATCTTTTAGCAATTCCGGTTTTTTCTATTTCATTATGATACAATGTTCGTAATTTTTTAAAAATATATATACTTTTTTTTGTCCGTCATTAATATAAAATTGACGGACAGAAAAAATAATAATTTTTTTTTCATAAAATATCGTATGAAACTATTATTGAAACATAAAACAAAAAATACAAACAGAGAAGATGAAATCCTAAGTTAAAATTTATTGATGGAACAACATATAAGATTTTACTATTGAGAAGAAACGGCTAAAAAACAAGATGTTTGAGGGAAAATTATATTTATGTTAATAACACTTTAATCATAAACATATAATAATGGAAAAAAACTAATTTATTTTATTAAAATTTTAAATGTGACCGAAAAAAACATTGAAATTAATCACACTCATAACTTTCAACCTTCTAGTTAGATTTGTTTTTATTTAAGAAAAATAAAAAGAAACATAGATTTATAGATTGTATAAAGACAAACTTAAAAATAAGTTTCGTTAGACAAAATTATTTATAACTAAGCTGTGTCGAAAAAGTTTGTGTCACTTTCTTTGTAATTTAGAAACTGCATAGACTCTCTAAAGTTTCAAAAAATATTGTACAGAATCCTCTAAAACTTACACGGATGTCTTTTATATTTTAAAAAATATTGCACAAACTATAAATAGAGTATGAGCAATTTTGCCTTTTTAGTAATTTACAAACACTAAGTATATATGATTAATGAAGCATAAAAATAAAATTTAAGAAATGTTTTTGCTTTAAAAACCTTTGAAATTGAATGTCAAGTCTTCCCAAATTTCGTAGCTTATCGTCTTGTCCATTTTTCGCTAATGATCCAAATGCTTTTCCACTCAAGTCGAAATGAAAAGGATCGTCGTTGCAAGCACCGGGACATTCATTTGTAATTGTTACCGTAACTGTATTTCCAGAACACAATGGATTTCCGGTGCATTTCACCTGCAACAATTCATACATCGACTTGATAATACCACAACACGGCTCAATGCATACATACTTTGTTCGAAGCCCTAAAAATAACCATACCTCATAACAACTCCCACATCCTTTTCCCGATTTAAACAAATTTTGATTGCCCGCTGCCGTTAAGCCATTGAATGGAGGCGCATTCATGTCCTTGTCATCAAATCCACACGCTCCCCCTACAATAAAAATAAAAGAAAAAAATCCGATAAAAAAAGAGTAAAATTACAATAGCAGATTCCCACGTCATAAAATAAATAAATAAATAAAATGAAATACAGTGGCTCGGTAAGGGATGGTCAAATTGGTATGGTATAATTTAGAGGATCCCATGATAAAATTATGAGTTCAGCATTGCTCAATCTAATTACAAAATTTGATTTAGATATTATTAATTTAATTAAAATTATTAGATGTAAAATCGATGATTGAAATTAAATTCAAACGTCGGAACGTGGTTTATTCCCTATATACAATGCATACCGGTTCCACCTCCCTTGGGATTGTCGTACCATGTTGCCACGGCGGGCGAGAAGCCATTGTCGTAGGAAGAATTTAACAACCGAGAATCGATACAAACAATGTTGTTCGACAAGAACATAGCAACCAAAAATAGAATGGTGTAAAAACTTTTATGATTAAACATTATGATGCTCAAGTTTTGAAAGGTAGAATAAAATTAGAAAAGTTAAATTTGGTTGATTAAACATGAGACATATATAATTATAAGAAAGAATTGAAGGGAAAAAATAAGATAAAATTTTCTTTTTAAAGTAAGTAGTGTTTATTGGTATTTACTAATTTGGTTGGATAAGAAGATATGTAATTTATAGTAAGTGTGTTTGTATTTAAATTCATGCAATTATATTGCATATAATCTAATTATTTAATTCATTATAGAATGTAATCTAATTTATCTATTGTGGAAAGATTAGGGTACTAATTAGAATTAATTAATATCATATTGGTAGAATGTGCTAATAAATTATTGTCATATATTCCCTCCTTCCCATAAATATAGTCTTAATTGGGTTGAGCACGGAATTTAAAGAATATTGATATTATATTGTTAATTGGTAAAAAGTATAGATAAATGACTTTTTTGCCCTTGTATATTAGTGTAAAAAGTAGTGGCAATTGTGTAATAAAAATGAAAAAATATGGATAGTTTTACGGTGATATGGTTATTTATGGAAATAAGACTATTGTTTTGGGACGGACAAAAATGGTAAACAAGACTATTGTATTGGGACGGATGGAGTATTAAATTATTTGTTAGATTTATATTATATTGATACAAATCATATATCATTCTCTTGTAATTCCGTATGATATCCGTTCATATTGATTCTTAATGAGCGGAGCCAAGCCAAATTTTAAGTGTTTGTATTCATTCGTTAACGTTCGCGAATGAGGCTCGTGTTTGTTCGTTAAACTCTCGAGCTTGGCTTGTTGAGGATTTTTATTATTTGAGCTCGTGTTTGTATTCAGCTCGTTTAGACTCGATTAAGCTCGCTCGAGCTTGTTTGTCTCACTTTTTTTAATTTATATATAAATTAAAAGAAAATTTAAAATTTTTATTTTTATTTATTTTAAATTGATATTTATTTATTTATTTATAAATTATAATTTTAGATATATATATAATATTTATAATAAATATATTATTTTAACGAACGTTCGCGAATAAAGCTCGGGCTTCGTTAATCAAACAAGTCTGTTTATGTTGTTCGGATCGGCTCGTTAACGTTTGCGAACGAGCTTTAATCGAACCGAATCGAGCTAAACTGAACTGAGTTCATGAACGGCTTGGTTCATTTGACCGCTCTAAGTGTGATATCATTGTAGTGTTAAATATTAGACATTCAGCATGGTAGTCGCAACTTATTTATATATTAGCAACCAACTTTATTTATATATTAAGACGTGAGAACGTTAGGTGTTTCAATATTTTTATTTTTTTATAAAAGTTTTGATTTTTTTTAATTAATTTTTTTTCTCTTTTTATTTTTATATAGATTTATTAATAATAGCTTATATATTCGAAAATTGTACGATTCATATTGCACAAAACTAATTTTTTAGAATATTTTAATATAATTTATTTTTTTACTACCATATTAATTGTTATTTTTATATATATATATATTTTTTTTTCATTCAATACTAATAATAATAATTGTGTTTTATTAATTTTTTGGATTTGTTCGATTTGTAGTTTGAAATAAAGTATTTAAATTTTTGATAATGTTTTATGAAAATATATATATGTATATTTTATTGGAAATTGTACATGATGAATTATGTTAATTTAATTTTTTAAAGACAAAGAACTAATCCTTATATCTATAAATTTCAATATTAAGTTCTCGTTGGTTTGTGAACTTGGTATGATTTCATTGAATTTAGATTTTAAAATTCTAATATATATATTTTTTGTTACAAAATAGATAACTGAATTTAAAGTAATTAAAATTTTAGAATTCTGCAAATGAAGAATTTTTTATTAGTAAAGTACTTTATTACTTTTAAATTTCAATCTCAATTGTATTTCTATTTTTACCTTTATATCATTCTATCCAACAAAAAAAAATTCTATTTTTTTCTTTTTTTTTTTTAATATTCCTTCTGTCCCAAAATTATAGTTTCAATTGGGTTGAGCACGGAATTTAAGAAATATTAATATTATATTGGTAGTGGGTAAAAATTATAGATAAAAGATTTTTTTGCCGTTGTGAGTGTATTAGTGCAAAAAGTAGTGGCAATTGTGTAATAAAAATGAAAAAGTAAGGGTAGTTTTACAGTGATACAGTTATTTATAGAAATAAGACTATTGTTTTGGAATGAACAAAAATAATAAACAAGACTATTATATTGAGACTAAGGGAGTATTATATATTTATATATTTAGATTATATTTGGTTGATTCTATAAAAATATAATATTTTATTTAAAAATATTACTACAAATATATATATATTTATTTATAATTATTAATTTTATTTATATTTAATTATATTAACAATGATATTTTAAATAAATGAATAATTTTAAGATTATTTGATTGGTGTGTTAGTTTGTATTTTGTTTGATATATTTTTATATTAGATATGAAAAAAAGTGTCGATAGTACAAAAATAATATTTTATATCGAATTATTATATTTTTTAGTGTATAGATTATATACTATATATTTTGTATAAATCTGTATATATTATATTTTTTAATATTAATCAATTTATACAATTTTTTAGAACACACCTAAATTGGTAAAAAAAATAAATAAATTTCACAATAAATAAAACTTGGAGAGAACAATTATGTCATTTAAAATATAAAAAATCTAAATTCTTCAATTAATCTGCAAAATAAACTAGATTTGAGAAATATAATTATTGAATAATTTTACCGACCAAATATATAACAAGATTTCAAATCCTAAATGCAATAAATCCTATCATATATAAATTTTTATGCAAAACAAATCTCAATCCTATTTGAGAAAAAAAAAAAAAGTCTGTAAATTAAACAGCCCATTAATATATTTTTTTTATATTTGATGATTTGAACTTTTTGTCATTTATAATTTATGAATAAATTAATTGTATATATAATGTATATTTGTAATTTATGTAAAAGTTAAAAATATTTTGGTATTAATTTATTTTTATTTTTAAAAATAGATATTTAAATGAGACAGATAAAAATAATTGAAAAAATACTTTGAATTAGTACGGATGGATGGATTATATATTTGAATAATTTGTAAAATTATTTTGAATGGAGTTAGTGTTTGGTAGGATAACAAACAGTCTTTGGGATAGAGTTAGGATTTTTTGAGATAAAAATAAGATGGAGATATGGTTTGCTGGTATATGTCATATATTTCTTCTGTCTCACTTGAAACTACTTTTTTGAGATTTCACAGTAAATTAAAAGATAGAAGTAATAGAATTTTATTGGTTAATGGAAATTTGTAAAAATTTTGATATTTTTATCTTTTCACTTTATATATAAATTAATTATATATGTAATGAATGATATGTTTGTAATTTAAATAAAATTAAATGATATTTTGGTATTAATACTAAAATATAAAAGAGATACATTTGAGTATAACATAATAAAATAGTAAAAAGTATATTTCAAGTTGAGCCGGAAGCGGGATATGTTAAGAATTTTAAGTATATATTATGGCGTTGATGTTGTACTAAATTTTTAAATTAAAGTTCAGTAGCACATCTTATATTAACGTATACACACGATATTATTACATACTATCATTATTCATATTAATATAATAAAATACAACACATAATATAATTTAATATAACACATGCAATAATTGATTTCAACACATAACATACTTTTATAATATACGTTATAAATATGAATTGACAACATATACTTTTATTTCAGATAGCATATGCTATATGAAATAAAGACATATGTTGTATGTTTTTTTTATTTGAGCTAATTAAGAAAATCAACATGCTACTGATTTTTATATAATACAAATAAATGAAAAAATATATATTTATTTATTTATAATTAAGTTAAAATTAATTTTATAAAAAATAAAGAATTTTAAATATAGATAAAAAAAGATTTATTTATTGAATAAAAAAGTATAAATAAAAGGGTTTTGAATATGCCTTTTTATGTAGGTTAGAAATAAAGTGATCTATATTTGTTATTTATCTTTAAAATAAATAAATTTACTAAAAATATAATAAAATTATTTGTTATGAATAATAAAAAAAATAAGAGTCATATGTGGCGGACGGAAGGAGTAGAATATCATAGCTAATAGTACAATAGAAATATAAAAAAATAATTTTCCTTTAAATTCACTTACTTTTTAGTGATATCATTTGTAATATAGTATAAAGTGTATAAACATTTTTTATTAAGGTAAAAATACTTTTACTAAAAATAAAAAGAAACGAATACATGGAATTTGACAAAATAATTGCATATGACTCGTCTAGAGTAGAGATGAGCATTCGGATTTTTGTCGAATCTGAACCTATTCGAAAACCTGAATTAAAATTTCCGTAGCAAACCAAAAAATCCGAAATAGAAATTCTATTTTTTATTATTTTTAAAAATTTTAAACTTTATTTAAAATTTTTATAATATTTTTGTGATATTAAATATATATATACTATAATAAATTATATTAGAATATTATATTTTAGATTTTGAATTAATTCGGATTTTTAGTATACTGATCCAAATTAATTTAAAAATTTAGAATTTATTAAACATTCAATTCGAACCAATCTGAAAATTCGAACCAAATTTTAAATTTCAATTTGGTCCGGATCGAATTTTTGAATTTCATAATTTTTCTCACCCCTAGGGCGGATGGAGTATATTGTATTTTTATGTGATGGATTCTCTTTTATTATTTATGTGATGCAGAAAAAGGGGGAAAAAGAGACACCGAAAAAGCAAAGAATTCAACTAATATTTTAAATATTTATAAAATTAAAAAAATAATATAATAATTAAATTTAATTATAATAATTCTGTGCATAGTACATGTTTAAAAGCTAGTGTTTGATATAGGAATAAGGCAAGGATTACAAAAAGATTATACTCAAATACAAATATATTGGATGATATCGTATTTTTTATATTTTATTTCTTAAAAATTAATATTTTATATGTTACTCATGTCTCATATCTATTTATTCATTTATTTTCTTCACAAAATTTTAAAAATATTAATATTATATTATGATGTAATATAAATAAAGGTAAAAAGACTAAAGTACCCTTATTAGTATAATATGATATAAATGTAATATCATTTGTATAATATATTGTAAATTGAAAGGGTATTTGTAATGTTAGATAGATATTACAATGAAATTACTAATTTGTTATGAGACGGGCCAAAATGAAAAAATAAATATATTGTTAAGGAAGAGAAGCAGTATTTTCAAATTTTATTTATCTACCATATATAAAGAGAGAACTGATAGTCATAAATGCATGCGTTAAATATTTATATTATTTGCAATATTTGGTTAATTTTGATTAGATTCTACCTGATTTGGGTATATATATTATTTATTTATAATTTGCATGAGAAAAATAATAAAATTGATATAATTAGTGGAAAAAGAGAACAAAAATGTCCAAAGCTCAATTGTTACAAAATTATGGCAAATATAAAGGAAAGAAAGAAGGAGGAGGCGCAACTTTATGCCACTTGCCGAGGAGAACACAGTTCAGAAGAGTCCCGAGGAGAAACCGTGCATGGGTAAGAAGAAAAAAGATTTTTCCAAGAAGATTTCGAGTTCTACTCCTACCAACGTCATTCTCAATATTTCTCTTTGCTTTCATTTTCCTTTGTTCTTCCTCCTATCATTAGCGAGTAGTTTACTTTTCTAGTTTAGGAGTGACAACTTGTATGGATTTGAGAGATTAGAGTTGTTTTGATTTATGATATTTCTTTGGTTCCTAAGTAGTTTTGTGATTTATGATTTCTTTGAGTTATAATCTCTTATTTGATTGGGTATTGTGACCCAGTATTTCAATTGGATTAAGAATTAATTGCTAAACTAAATAAGACGTTCGTAATTGCATTTTAATTTGGTTCAAGTAGCAAGTGGCAAACATCATTAGGAAATCACAGAATCAATTAAACAATTTCGCATAGTTAATTCTTAAATTGAATTAGACTATTTTAGTTCGCAAGGCGGTTAGGCTAGTAAATTCTTTGTGACGTCATTAGAGTTCTGGTCTAACTAGAGAAGCAGTTGATGGGCGTACTAGACTGTCACGAAATTAAGGAAGAGTTGGTTATTAGACGCGTGCCGGTAACTATAACTAATTTATTTAGAAACCAATAAAATTAAATATTTATCGATGATCAAATCCACTTACCAAGTTGTCAATTTCATTCATAGACGGGAAACATATTTTTATTTTTATTGAATTTATCTTTTAGTCATAGAGTTTTTAGTTTGTTATTTTATTTTTATTTCTTACTCCCAAAATCTCCCATTTATTATATTTATAAATCAAATAATAAAAAATAAAACATTTTTCATTCCCTCAGGAGACGACTCTTCTTCATCTATACTATATTATTTTTATTGTAAAAATAGATTTATTTTATTTTAAATTTTGCAGCGTGTGACAAACACTTCTCAAGAGCCAAATAATTATAATTGAGAATACGGTAATTTTAAAATTTTAAAAACCAGACACATGTTTTCCCAAAAATTTTAATATATCACCACATAAAAAAGTATCCATTCAAATTCAAATTAAAATTTTGTTTACTTTATAACTTTTTAACAATTATAATTATTTATAATAAAAATTATTTATTTTATAAAAAATTAAAATCAAGATAAAATAAAATAAATTTAATTAATTAATTAATAACTAAATATTCCAATATTTATTTGTTATAATATTTTTATTTAATTCTTGGTTTTGTTATCAATCATTTTATCACTCTTGATATTTCTCATTATATTTGTCAAATAAATTCTCCATTTTAACAAGAAAAAAAAAAAAAAAAATCAATTCTCTCTAAGTTGAATTCTTTTATCATACGACAAATCTAAATATAAGCCTTGATTTTGGCTTGAATTACATACATATCCATAATATCCTTGTCTGTACAGTACAACATATAAACAAACCCCTCCACACCACACCAAGGGCAGAGAGAGAGACAGACACCCAACAATACATCAATTAATTAATTAATTAATTAATTTACACTATACAATTCAATTCATTAATTTACTCTACAACAACATGCATCAATGTTCATTGCTCCGAAAGGTTTTCCTTAACCACACCTCCACCCGAGCCGAGCCCATAGTTGTTCGATCCCGGCGAGCTATTCCGGGAGAAACGGTAGCCTGGCGACACTAGTGCCTTCACCCGGCGTTGTCCCGGAGGAGGAGGAGGAGGAGGGGAGCTTCGAATTCAGTTTCTGAGGAAGGATCTGAAGTCTGGGGTTCGACTCAGTTCCCGAATTCTCCACAGCTAACTGATAGCTCTCCACCAGCTCCAGTTGCCGAGCGACAATCTCCGATCGCCTCGGCAGAAGCTCCACCGGCTCACCACCGGGTATCACTATGTACTCGATCGCCACCCGAACCTCCTGTCCAAGAACGAGATGAATCAGAGATGACGATGTTCTAAAGCAAGGCACTTATAGCATTTCTAAAGCAAGAGGCAGTAAAAATCTTTACTTTGGTGATGCAATTAACGCTTTCTCGGCTATTTTGTCCGATTATATGTTGTTGAAATATTTTAAATATTCGATTTTAGATGATCAATGCAATTTTTTGCGGATATTTTCTAACATATATCTAAACGATGCAATGTGACATATATTTTCAGCACTTGAAAATCACAACAACAGCATCACACATATTTGTCAAGATTCGACCTTCTATATATAAACAAAACTTATGCATACCTCCAAGGCATCGATCTCCTCCAATGACGGTTTCCTTTTCGGCGCATCATCTCCGATCTCAATATCAAAGGAACTTCTAGACTCCTTTCGTGTCGAGCTAAAGGAATCCATCCCAAGAATCATTCGGACTGCTTTTACCATTTGAGCCATTGTAGTGGACTGCAATGTAAAAACAATAAAACGTTTTTACATACACATAATGAACAAATTTTCAAGTCCTAGCCTTGTTAAGGTTAGGAGTATCTACGGTGATACCTTGATAACATATACGGGGAGCTGGTGAAATTTCGCCACTCCTCGGATCCAAGGATTCTGTTTCATTTCATAACTAGATGTCAGAATAGCATCAGCAGAAGCAATATCATCAGTTATGTCTATTTTATCTTCGAGCCCCATTACGGCCGCTACTTGTAACAAGTCAGCTTCTTGGATCTGAAATAACAGCCACACACAACCAAATCAATCGGATCTTGAAGTCACATCTGAAGATCGCATGCTAGTTTTTATCTTCGGTTAAGTGTGCTTTTCAAACATGCTATATTTTTGCTCTCTGATTACGTATTCAGTTCATTTTGCCTAACAAGAAAAGTGAAAAGAGAAAGGCGACGAAAATAAATACCTTGTAAGTAAATACAAACAGCGGGTAGCTCTTTTTGCTCACAGATACACTAGATCGCGCTTTCTTGGACCTACGACGGTAATTGGAAGCTTCCTTGTCAGATTCAGTCTCTGCTCCTTCATTTCTATATGCCGTAACCTTATCATCTTCGACAAAGTTTTCTTGAGTAGGTTGAACCGGCTTTAGTGATTGATCGGCTTCAATTTCTATTTCACGGAGTTTAAACAGCTGGGATTTCCCCAATGCTGTTTTAGCATCATCAAAATGAGCTTCTTCTGCAGTTGTGCTCCGGATTTCAAATAATGGAGATTTCCCTGAAAAGTGTGTAACTTTGTCAAGGACTGAAGAAGACTGACGATTGGTAAATTTCATGGAAGGACTATTAAAAACCGAAACTACCTGCAAGAATGGCATCCACAGTAGCATCTAGCTTGTGGTGAACACGACACTCGGTTTTCGATATCATTTCAACTGCACATGTGAATGGCGGAGGTCCTTTCCTCTCTAGAATCGTTTTCTGCACTTTTCGCTTCCGTGCTTCCTCGTCGCCTAGAGTAACACTCTGTTTTGTAGTGAAATAAAAAACTGTCATCGATAACATATTCAAGTTTATGTTAGAAAGAACAAGTCGAGGGGTTAATTTGCACCTCTATTCCTCCTACAAGGGTCTGCAAAGAGGGGTTCTTAATGATGTTTTCTATAGTAATGCCATGAGCCGTCGCAACAAGTTGCACACCCCTTTGAGCAATCGTACTGGCGGCCAATGCTTCAAGCTCTGTTCCGATTTCGTCGATTATAATAGTTTCGGGCATGTGGTTTTCGACCGCTTCAATCATTACCTGCTCGAGATTGGAGAAAGAGTCAGTCTTTGGAACAGTAAGGAACAGCAGTAGGCAAAACGATCAAAGGATGTACATTATGCTGCATGTGAACATTCGGCACTTGCATTCTTCGAGCACGGCCGATTCCAGAATGTGGCACATCCCCATCACCGCCAATTTCATTTGATGTATCGACGATAACCACGCGTTTTTTCTGGTCATTGGCCAGAATTCTTGCTATTTCTCTGCAAAAGATTCAAACAAATCACAACCACTTAAAACCAAAAAAAAAAAAAAGAAAATGAAGCCAGTGGCAAAAAATTATACAATCAATATTATGTTGACCTTATTAAGGTTGTTTTTCCGACACCCGGAGGCCCTATGACCAATATAGACCCTCTACTCTCAACTAAGTCGCGTATGATCTCAGCACTGCCAGAGACAGCTCGGCCCACACGGCATGTGAGACCTATGATTTGCATTTTCCGGTTCCGGATGGCGCTTATACGATGCAGAGAATGATCAATCCCTGAACGGTTGTCGTCGGAGAAATCACCAACCTGGATGCCATCAATTAAGTTAACACTAAAATCCTACAGCCCCATAAACATACAAATCTATATACACACCCATGCTGATTAAATCGAGCAATTGGTTTGTCTTAGGTCAACAGTCCCTATATTTAGATTTACCATATTGTATAACTACATTAACAACACGAATGAACAAATAAGTGATCTTGACAAAAAAACACTCAATTATATGGAGCTTTAAAACTAATGCATCAACAACTTACTGGAATCAAGAAAAAGGAAATGGTCCATCTACGAACAACATATCTAATCGCAAGAAACAATACATTAACAACTAACAACACAACAATAATAGTCCCAATATATAATTGATCTTGGCACACAAATTATATTAACACAATACGCAAAATAAAACAGGCAACACATTAATAATCTATACAATAAATTGTTAGCGTCTGATGTTAAACTATATATCTGATGTGTTGATTACAACTATACAGCACCCTAACATGTTCTAACTCAACTATTAAACAACCTACTATCCAAATAGCATGTCATTACATTACAATCGAAGAAAACAACATACCCGGCATCTCTATATCTATACATATACATATCCATCCTCAGCACATTGTATGATGTTGAATTGTAAAGTTTAGGTAGGAACAGCATATGTAAGTCAATCAAACAGAATCTATGGCATCTCATTTCAGCAATACAACTTGTCATCAACAAGGCAGATCAAAATTTTGCATCAGCATAGAATGAATCCACAGCAGCATCATAAGTGTGTGTATATATAAAGCAAGTAGTTCAAATGTTAGTTACTAAATTCATCGTTGAGAATTTGAATTTTAGGAAGACAAGACAACCAACCTTAGAGATAGCGTGGAGCAGATCCTGAGGCATGACGGGGTGGTGGGAGATGACCCAATCCCCCGAGGGGAATCGAGCGAGGGGCTTCCTCCCCAAGTCCATAACCACCTCGATCAGCTCACCGATCTCCCCGTGCCTGTAAAGCTCCTGCCTCAATCTCACAGGCACCATCTCCAGGAACAACTCCAGGTCCGAGACCACCGGCACCGGCGCCTCATTGCCGGAGCTCGAGGTGGATGCGGCGGACCCCGACGAAGTCAACACCGAGCCGGTTCCCGTTCCCCTGTCCCTGGGGCGGCGAATCGCGGGGGAAGTCGCCTCGGATGTGATCTTCCTGCGACGCATTGCGGCAGAAAACGAGCCGGCCATGGCGGCGAAGGCGGAGGCCGGGATGTAGTGCGCGGAGTGGAGATCGATGAGCGCGAAATGCGCTGTGGGGCTGAGAGCCCTCATGGCCATGGTAATTGGTAGGGGAAGGAAGAGTGATGGGTAGATATGGAAGAAGAAGGAGATTTTTGGGGGAGACGAGGGAAGATTCCTTTGGGATCTCTGTCTTCTCTGAGTGGGGAAGAAAGCAAAAGGGACATGTAAACGAATTAGAGTTGGAATTGGAAGATGAAATGGAAGATTTGGGAGAGCCACGTGGTGGGGAAGACGAAGCCGTTTGGAGCCACTCGTTTTGTTTCGTTTGCTTTGCGTTCGCGACTTTGCTCACTGTACCGTACAACTAGTGCTTATTTACTGCCTTCCACTTTCATTCTTCCCTCAACCTTTATTTCACTCATTTTATTAAATATAGTTTGTAACTAGTCTTTTTTTTAATAGTTTTTTTATTTATTTATAGGAAATAATTTCATTATTTTTATTTGAATAAATAATAAATCATGTTTAGCTAATTTTTTTACTTATCTTACTGCTTTCCATCAATTATTTAATACACATTTTATAACATTCCAATGTATTTTTTACCTTTTTTTTTTTTTTATACTAATATCAAAATAGTATTATTTTTTAATTAGGGAGGGAGTATTATATTTATATTTGTAGTATACTACCCAACTTCCTTTCTTTCCTATACATAATGCACCTACCCAAATTCAAATATATTGCCATGTGAAGTCAAAAGAGTTTCTTTTAATTATTTAAACTTGGTATATACTTATAGTATACTCTCTCTGTCTTATAAATACAGTCTTAATTGGATTGGGTACGAGATTTAAGAAATATTGATATTATATTCGTAATTGGTAAAAAATATGGATAAAAAAAAAATTTATTAGTGTAAAAAGTAGTGGCAATTGTGTAATAAAAATGAAAAAGTATGGGTAATTTTACGATGATATGGTTATTTACGGAAACAAGACTATTGTTTTGGGACGGACAAAAATAATAAACAAGACTATTGTATCGAGACGGAAGACTATTATATTGAAACCGATGGAGTATTATTTATCTCTTCTAAATGGTAGCTAAATTGCATATCTTTTCAATTAGAATTATATACTAACAGTTTATATTTATATAGAGCAAGAAATTGTGAGCCCTGTGCAGCTTATCTCAATTTCAGATTGCAAGGAAATGAATACACAAAATGGAATACATTTATTCCATACCTGTTTGTTTAGATAAGGATCTTTGGAGATTTTTTAAATTTTGAAAAAAATATATATATATATATATATTTGATTTGATGTTTTGTAAGAAAAAAAAAATTGTATTTGATGTGATGTTTTTTAAAAAATAAATAGTATCAAATGAGTGAAAAGTATGTCGGGTAAACAGAGCGCGAATAATTGGTGAGTAGTCATTCAAATTACGTCTCAATTCAATTCAGACACAAAATTCGTCACGTTTAAAATTTTTTGTCGTTCAACAATCTAAAGTATCAACCAACAATTGGAATCTTAATTTTTTGCAGGACTTGTAATAAGGAATCCAACTAACCAAAGCCAAAGCCTGCAAGTAATCTCCTTGCAAAGTTTGCACGCATTTAACACCACTTAGTTTTCGAAGAAGAATCACAGCCGTAGACAGTACACACATCTGACGGCTCACATTTCACAAGGCATGTTGGGGTGCAATCCTAATTTCCTAGTTGGAAGTTTTCACATTTTAGAGGTCTTTGGAGAATATTCAAAAATAAATCCGCGCGACTAAGCCCGAGCGGACAATATCATACTTAAAACAGTCAAAAATAGGTTGAGCCGATCAGGTTGGCCCGTCCTGCCTTACTTTTAAGGAGCCCGTTAAAATGCGGGCGTAAATGAGCCAATCCGCATGAGCCGCGGGTTGAGGATAGGTTAGCCCGCGGTCAAGTAAATATAATAATTAATACTGTTCTCTAAGTAAATGTATTTTTTTACCATTTTTTATTGTTATATTAAAAAATTATAATAAAACTAATCAAATATTAATATAAGAATATATTTTATTTTTTTATAAATTACAAATATATCATTATTTTGTTAAGAATAATAAAATAAAATTTATACTATCATTAACTTAAATAAATTATCAATATTATCTACAACCTTGTTTCTCTTCTCTAACTATATTATTCCTGACATTGTTATTTGTTTCGATTTTTCATCATTTGTTTTGTTCGTTTTCCATTTTATTATTTTATAATTATACAAATTTATAAAATTAATTATGATTTATTTTTAAAATGAAGTATTTCTTATTATTAATTTTTTTAAATACACTAATTAATAATATTTAGAATTGAGAATTTTTATATTTGTTATTTATTTTAAAATATTTATTATCTAAATTCTACAATAAAATTATTTTTAAATATTAATTACAAAAATATTTATAATATTAATATTCTTTTAATATTTTTAAAAAGTTCGTGGACCAGTCCGCTTAGCTCACCACCCGCTGGTGTGTTGGATTGGGTTGATAAAATTTTAATCTGCCCCTTCACGGGTTGGCCGCAAACAACCCGCTTATTTGCAGGTTAAGGTGGGTTGTGGGTCAATCCGTCCACTAATCCGTTTTGACAGTCCAATCATACTTAGTGTTTAGTTGACACAGTCCAACAAGACTTTATGTAAGAACATCGATTTCACCAAAAGGCAGCTTCATATGGGTATTTCAAAGATGCAAGAATTGGAGGCAACATATGAGTACATGAACAACCTAAGATGATAGATAGCAACAAACATGTCCGAATTACAGATCATTTGTTATAATATTCCTTCAACACACCTAGAGTTCTTTCAGCAACATCTTTCCCGAACAACCTCGGGAAACTTGAGCCGAGATCAACCTCAATGGTCTTATTCTTAATCACTCGATCCCTCTCAGCTAAATAGGTCTGCTCAACCTCTCCCAAATTCCTATCCGTGCAGGCACACGACTCTATCCAAAAATTCAGAAACTCCTTGCTAATGGGATCGATATGATCTCGAATAATATCACCAATTTCAGTAGTTCCTTCACTCGCTCCAACATCTATCGATGCTATAATTGCAGTTGGAGAAAGAATCGCCCGTATGTAAAGAGAGGGTGATATGTAAGGACTTACCTGAGGCAGATCATGGAGGCGCTGTCTATGCCTGTCCAATTGGGGATCTTCGTAGTAAGTTTTGAGGTATTCGGGATACATGATGAGATCCTTTCGAGGAGTCAAATCGAGAACCAGCACAAGTGATGTTGAGCTACTTTGGATGAGGTCCAGAAGGAAGTGTGGGGCATCAGTTGAAGCTCGTAAATAGGCTGAAAGGCTCGTTATGTTCAACGCTCCACCGGATGGAAGCTCACAGTGGATCCAGCTTCCTACAATGAGATCAATCTGGTATGTATTTTCACTTTAGAAATTTGGAGAAGATTTGAACAATTAAAGAACAATTTGGAGAAGATTTGAGTTTTGGAGCTAGAACAATTCACAGAAATTAAAGAACAATATGCAGAAGATCTGAGTGCTGGAGCTAGAACAGTTAAGAATAATTTAAGAACAATTTGCAGAAGATCGAGTGCTGGAGCTAGAACAATTCACAACAATTAAAGACAATATGCAGAAGATCAAGTGTTGGAGCTAGAACAATTCACAGAAATTAAAGAACAATTTCAGAAGATCGGGTGTTGGAGCTAGAACAATTCACAACATTAAAGAACAATTTCGGAAGATCGGGTGTTGGAGCTAGAACAATTCACAACAATTAAAGAACAATATGCAGAAGATCGGGTTTTGGAGCTAGAACAATTCACAACAATTAAAGACAATATGCAGAAGATCAAGTGTTGGACCTAGAACAATTCAAAATAATTGAAGAACAATTTGCAGAAGATCTAAGTGTTGTAGCTAGAACAATTCACAACAGTTAAAGAACAATATGCAGAAGATCTGAGTATTGGAGCTAGAACAATTCACAATATTTTTGAACAATTAAAGAAGATCAAGTGTTGGAGCTAGAAAAATTCACAGCAATTAAAGAGCAATATTAAGATCCCCCAAAATTCACTCGGTATACAATATTTTTGAATAATGAATGAACAATTTGCAGAAGATCAAGTGTTAGAGCTAGAAAACAATTCACAACATTTAAAGAACGAACACTATTAATTCTCCAAAATTCACTCGGTATACAATATTTTTGAACAATCAATAAAAAAATTTCAGAAAATCAAGCGTTGGAGCTAGAACAATCCAAAACAATTATTAAGATGCTTCAGCTATACAAAGCATATCAGATGAAAAGAAAGCTTCACTGGAATGCGATCTGTTTCACTCTATCAATTTTACAATTTGAAATTTCCCAATTTTGGCGTCGCAAGTCCAATTCATTGAAGACGGTAATGGTACCTGAGACGAAGGTATTCCAGATCGAAGGTTCAGAGTAGCACGAGCTGTCCCGCTGTCATTCCCAAAGTGCTGTACGTCGGATGGAAGAGTACACGACTGCAGTGAGGATCCAAGGCGACTGTCCACAGTGGATAGCAAATCCACCATCAATCTTCTGTGAGGACCAGACACGTAAGGAAATTCCATTAACTTCGAACTGAGATCATCGCCGGAATTCATTGAAGCTGAAAGACGCCCTAATCGCTTCCGCGAAAGGCCGCGACGACGACTATGACTAGGCAACTGGAAACTGAACGTCGAATGCGGATAATTGGCCAAGCGCACTGCCATGACCATGAGAGGACTCGGTAGCTCGGATGGTTGTGTCGATGGATTGGTACTGAAGGTCGATGTTGGGTTTCGGGTAGGATCCGGTCTGGGTCCATGTCGGAATCGGGTAAGATCAAGGTTCGGGTCTCATAATTATTTTTTCAATTAAAACAAAAAAATTTGATGTTTATAAAACAAAAAATTGGGCTTTCGCAATCTGACCCCAAAAGTCGGCCCACATTATTATTGTGGTTACGGTAGTAAAAAAAAAATGATCGTATGCACCATATTGGTGAATCATCTATTTAGAAAATCTAAAATTGTTACAATTAATTTGTAGTGAAAAAAAATAAAAAAAAAAAAAAAAAAAAAAACATACGAGGTTGTGAGGTTAAAAATAGTTCTCAGTTTTGGATGGGTAAATAGCGTGAGAAATTGAACATTGAAATATAAGGGTTGGAGATAGTTTGACATGGAGGAATGATCAAGAAATGGTAATCATGATTTATTCAGTTGATCAAGAAATGGTGATCATGATTTATTCAGTGTGTAACTTGATTATATTCATATATATATTTGTATTTCAATAGTTTTGATAGTTGCTTATTCTGTATTTTATGTTCTTAGTTGTCCCGTATATGCATTCGCAATCCATCTAGCAAATAACAAGTCTATATTGAAAAATTTTATAGTTTGCTTGTAAATTTGAGTTTGTTGTCTTTGTGTATGAGTTAATCGATTTTTCGGGACCAACATGGTCGAAATATAATTTGATCCTACCCAATAATTTTGTTATTGTACATAATTGTTATTTGACATGATATTTGAATAGTTGAGTTTGAATAGAATTCTCATTACACATCACATCTATCTGAGTCCATTATTATTACCATTATATTGGAAAGTCGATTTTTAACCTAAAATTTCTTATAGCTAATAATTGGTAGAAACTCAATGTAAATCTCCTCTCTGCGATACATATCGGATGCTGAATGACCGTCTCACCTAAAAGCTCAAACTGTTTAGATGAATGGCTAGCTCTTCTCCTACTCGACTGCTAGTTTTGCTTTGTGTCAAATTATTCATTCTATTTCCATTGAATTTGTGTCAAATGATTTTTATTTAGCTTTGTATAATTTATGGTGTGTTTGGTTTAAGAATTTTGATTTGAATTTTACTATTGTTGGACATGAGTCCAAAAACACCTGAACATGAATGAGACTCAAAGACCAAAGTGGAGCCATAGCTTATTGGCCACGGAGCCGCTCAACAGTAACGGAGCTTCAAGCCTCAGAGCCAAAGACTGTTGCCTCCACAGAGCCGAAGACAACAACTTCCATTGGATTGTGGTGTTTCCACAGGGCCGAAAGCAGCAGCCTCCATGGACCTTAGGGCAACAACTCCTTGGACCATGGCGCCTCCATCCCGGAATAATGTTTCCATAAGGTCAGAAATTATTGTCTCCATTGGATTGAAAACAACTACCTCAATTGGATTGCGGTGCTTCCACAAAGCAGAGGAAGATTGCCTCCACAAGATAGAAAATAACAGCTTCCACAGATCATGGGATAACTACTTCCATTGCCCTAGATTAATAATTTTGTACTGAACATTAGTGGAGGGTCTATGCACTTTCATACTTTATTCAAAAAAACTCCATAAAACAAGCCAACAAGAGGAAAATCGAGAATTTTACGTAACTTGAGGCTGTTGGGGACACATCCCTTTGGACCGGCTAGGAGTACGATGGAAACAAGTTGGAGTAAGCGACATATTTGGTTTAGAGGCAATGGAAGAAGTTCGGAGCAAGTGGAACCCGGTCCAGAGACAATTGAAGCGGTTGGGAGCTGATGGAAAGATGCTATCAGATGGTTGATGGAAAGAGGTTATCAGGTGGTTGACGGGAGGAGGTTACCAGGTAGTTGGGAGCTGATGGAAGAAGGTTACCAGACGGTTGAGAGTGGTGGAGGAATAATTGGAACTGCTCCTTTTAATGGGAAGAGGCTGTTATTCTATTTTAAGATTAAAACTAGAAAAAAAACACATAACACATGCACAAGAAGATGAATTTGTATATTTCTCTATTTCTTTTTCATGTTTTAGTTCATGTTTATGCATTTTAATTAGAATTAAATGTTTTTATGTTTCTAGCATATTTTTATCGTGATTTCCAGTAGATTTATTCGAGTTTTAGTAGATGTTAGTTTAACTCCATCGAAATCGGTCGTTTAGGCTCGAAGCTTCGTTTAAGACTGAAGCTGTGCAGGCTCCATCGCAGGAGCCGCCTCCAATCCGACGACGGACAGGCTCTTTGGAGTACTTTCGGAACCTACAACGACGAACGGTCTTGGAACCTCCGAATTTTAGGTTCCAACAATTATTTATGGCAAAATTGTCCATAACTCCCATGTGGTTTATAAACTCAGCGTAAATCTCCATTCTACTTTAAAAATTGCATGACGTCGCCTTATACTTTAAAAAATGTTGCATGAAACTACTATGTGGTTTCGAAACTTAGCATAAATCCCCACCTTACTTTAAAAAATTGCATGAGGTTTCCTTATACTTTCAAAAGTATTGCATAAAACCCCACTGCCATGCAAAACATATAAATATGAAATCATCTTTTTATCATACGAGGAAAGTTTCATGGTGGTGGGGTTTCATGCAACGTTTTTTAAAGTATAAGGGGGTACCATGCAATTTTTAAAGTATACGGTGATTTTACGCTGAATTTTGAAACCACATGTGAGTTATAAGTAATTTTACCATTATTTATTGAGGGTGTGTTTGTTTTGAAGAGTTTTGGAGAAATTGGGTTTGTGTTTGGACTGGATTTGAATTTTAAGATAGTTTAAATTTTTTTATTCTTTTAAGTGTAAAGATTTTGTTTGAGTTTGAAGATTTTTATGTGTATTGATTTTTATTGTGGGTGAAAATGCAGGCGATGAGTACTTCCGGAATCCAGACCAACGAATCGATGAACGGTCTTGGAATCTCCGAATTTTAGGTTCCAACAATTATATTATTAACGGTGTGTTTGTTTTGAAGAGTTTTGGAGGAATTGGGTTTGTGTTTGGATTGGATTTGAATTTTAAGATAGTGTAAATTTTTTTATTCTTTTAAATGTAAAGAATTTGTTTGAGTTTGAAGATTTTTATATGTATTGATTTTTATTATGGGTGAAAATGCAGGCGAGGCCATGTTAATTCTGTGTCACATCATTACCTTTTGTTTTATTATGTCAGAAGATGAAAATTGACAAATAAGCACCACGTTAGCGACCTGAGGTATTTTTCCATATTTGCTGGTGCAATTGCTCTCGGTCTCGCACTCGAATTGAATCAAACAGTAATTGTATTGTACCAAGCCACCAAACCTTTCAAAAGAAACACACCTTAATTTTTTTTCTCCAAAAATATTAAATAAAATACTTATTTTTTCAAATCAAAGCCAAGCATATGTAGTACATTTAAAATATCATAAAATATTAGTGTTAATACCATATTACAAATATGGAAAAAAAATAAAAATAAATAAATCAATAGTAGTCTCAATACGGTTAAAATGTAACAATTTTGGCCTCAATATATTAAAAAAATCTTAAAAAAAAACTCATCAATTTTTGTCTCGTTATAAATAAATTTATTCAATTTTGATAACACCGAAAATTATTGACGTAAATATAACGGAATTTACGGGCAACTGATCTTGATACAACACGGTAGTGTTTAATTGTACACTAAGTGTTTATATCTGTTTTGATCCAAATTTTCATTTTTTTTTTAAGTACATAAATTCGACTGTAATTGAAATATGTATTGAATTTTTATATCAAAACATAAAGAAATACGTCTGTGATTAAATGAATTACAACCAGATTAACTACAAGAAAAGAAAACTAAATAAACAACCTCACACGGCCACAGCCATGTTAGGGAAAGAAAACTAAATAAACAACCCCACACGGCCATGTTTCGATATATATACACCCACACTTTATCATAGGAATATTGAAGTCCATATTGGATGTACCCGGCTGCACTGACACATATGGCCATGTTATAACACCATCACGGTACATGGACGTAAGTCAGTACATTACCGTGTACAATTAAACACGGCTGAATCACGGTCATATTTCTTTGTATTTTAACCTAAAATTTCAATATATATTTCAATCATGATCGAACCGAACTTCAACATTTTCAAATTGATATAATTTAATTTTTAACTATATTAACTATTTAAAAGCAATAATTTCTTTTCCAAACGAAAAAAACATAACCAAAAAACAAAATTTTAAATCATAACATAAATAAATACCGCCATAGAACAATATAAGCATGTATAATTATATATGATTGTGTCAAGAAAATAGATCAATAATTTTCGTTAATTTTTAACAATAAGACAAAAGTTAATTAAAATTATTTATAATTAGACAAAAATTGATAATTTTTTTTATATTCGAATCAAAATCAATACATTTTGACTATATTAAATCTACTCTTGATTTTTTCCTAAAAATATATTCCAATTTAAACTTTTTCTACTTCAAAAACACTATCCTCTCACCTTCCCAAGTGTTAAAACCTACTACCAAATAGCTCTCTATTTAAAAAAACAAAAGAAAAAAGTGTATTTGTACTGCTTTCTATCTTGAATGTTTTCCCAACATCGAACTTATTAAAATATTCCCTCCATTTATTATCTGAATGTATACTCACTTTTCTTTCTTTTAGTTATCATCAATTGTTCAATAGAAATACTATTTTATCTATTTTTTCACTATATAAAAAAATAAATAAATAAATAATAATAATAAATTTATTCTTTTCTTTTTTAAAATTCGTGCTCAGTTAAATAGATATAAATATTAATGAGAAAAGGGAGTACATTCTCTCCAAAAGTATCACAATAAAATTCACATCAAATATATTAGCAAATACCAAAGTAATAATAATAAAATAGTAATACGAAACACAAGCAAGCACTTCACATTGTGGCACCTTGAATATGGCTAATCTCAAAGGGAGCTAGTGAGCTACTTTATGAATCACATCCATCCTATTTTACAATTGATTTATAATTAAATACATGATCAATCACCCAAACAATAAAACAAAAGAGAGAATCCGTACACTGTCGGGCTTAGTTTGCAGGGTATTAAATTCGACCAAAGATTTACCCAGTGCGCATTTTTAGGTAACGGCCACAGATTCTTATGTCATAAATAAATAATAATAATGATAAAAAAAAAAAAAAAAACCTTCGTCTAGTGTGATTTCTTTTCCTGGCCTAATATGTTAGCTATCAAATTGCGCACTAAGAAAGTAACATCGGAAAATTCCACGTAAAAGAGCTAGGAAGCTAAAATGAAAGGGTGTGTTTACATGTAGAATTTTTATTTTGATTTTAGTATTCCAAAAAAATATATATCTAAAAACGTCAAATCAAACAATTATTTTTTATTTATTATATTACACTAAAATTTAATTTTACATTTAAAATATCACATCAATACATATTTATATCACATCAAATAATTATTTTAATTCAAAATTTTGGGCATACTAATACTTTATGTAGCATGCGATGGTGCTAATAAAACAGTAGTGAAAGTATTTTTTTGTAATTTTTTTTTTAATTTATACTACGTTTTGATATAATAATTAATATTCAAAGATCAATAAGCAAAAAGTAAATGGAACCCTAAAAGCCGGACGAAGATAGTATTAAGATAATATATAATGGAATATTTTGTAATCGCAAAATCCAAATAGTAGAAACCTGAAGTTTGATGGCAAAAGAAACAAACCCGACTTATTGCAGCTGAACTGGATTGCTTACTTCTAAATGAACCAAAAATGCATTCATTGCCAATTATCTGTCTATCTAATCTATCAGACAACATTAAACATGACTTGAGGACAAGAATTATAAGATCACCTCTAAAGCACAGACAGACAGACAGACAGACAGAGACATATCACAAAACAGAGCTCAAAAACACAATCATGTACTCCAACTCCAACAAAATATTCCAAATCAAAATCAAAATCAAAACCGATGCGTAGTATGTATAAGATAAATAGTCAGCATATGATAATTTAAAGGGATAAGCTTGCTACCTCCAACAGATTATATCAGCTCGAAAAGATTGCAGTCGGGTTTCCCGGAGAAGGCGGGGTTGAATTCAACACGGACGCATGGCCCCCTGCACGAGCAACGGCATTAGGATCTGTTGCAGACAAGATTTCCAAATGTTCAAGTCCCAACTGTCGCTTAATCAGTTCCGAATTCTCTATAAGAACATCGATTTCACCGAAAGGCAGCTTCAGGTCTAAAGCATGAACGCCGACAGCCTTGACTTCGTCCTTCTTGAATCTTAAGAACGGCATACAGAGCTTCTGTATTTGTTTAAAGTTGCTCGCCTGACCAATATCGCTTTTCTGCAACTCGGCAAGGATCTCTTGGTCGGGCGCGAACGTGCACGACGAAGCGTCAAATTTCTTCTGGAGTATGTTGAGGCATTCTTTCTTCCACCCGTCGTATTGCTCGTTCACAAATATTAAGCCAGTGGTGGGTTTGTTCTGAATGTTTTGTGTGTTCACTTTGCCTTTCTTCGAACCCGAAACCTGCTTCTGCAAAAGCTTCCTCATCGAGACAATCGTATCTTGCAGGTATGTATTAGCCTTCTTAAGGGTTAGGTCTGGCGAATCGGCTAGAGGCCATCCAGCTTTTACGACATATCCATCCTTCTTCAAAAGCTCCTTCCAGACGTATTCTGCGTAATGAGGGCAAATTGGAGCGAGGAGACGTGTCTGAACATCCATGAATCGCCACAATAAATTACGGTTCATTCCTGATGCACCGCACGAGAGCCTGTACTCGTCCCTTGCGGCCTGAAGATCGTAGAAGCCAGTTTTTAAAGCCTCCCGGAACATGAACTCGCTGTAGTGCTTCTCCGACATTTTTACTGCTATGTTCATTTCATTTGCAAAGACGCGATCTGCGTAGGTTGAAGGTGGAGTGTTTCTCAAAGTAGATTCAGCGGCAAGAACCTCCTCCATCCATGAAATCTCTTTTGTAAGCCGTAAGATAGCGGCATTCGCTGTTTCAAAGACGAAGTTAGCATCATCCATGCCATCACCCGCATCTGCAAGCGAGAACCTCGTGGCATCAGCTGAAAACTCTTCGATTGCTTCCCGAAGAGTCCTGAAATTCCCTGTCGACTTTGACATTTTCTCGGAATTCAGCATAAGGTGACCATTGCATCTGAATCCCTTCGGCCAATGATGTCGGGGCACGAGCGCTGTGTGATTATATATACAGAACGTTAAATGGTTCTGAATGAGATCCTTCCCAGACACTCTTACGTCAAATGGATACCAATACTCGAACTCTTTCTTCATCTTATTAAGAAGAGCTGAAGGTATTCCAGAGGATTTAGGATATGGGCCGTCGACAAATATGAAATCCCAAACCTCATCAGTTAACTGTTCTGGCTTCACGGACGACCTATCACGTCCATACATGTCCCCCAGCTGCAGCATATGAGCGACAGTGTAATACGCCATATATAGAGTCGAATCAGACAGTGACTCGACCAAAAACTGCTCGTCCCATGGAATTCGAGTTCCCAGACCAAAATTACGCGAGCATGCCCACTGGTTCAACCAGCTCAACGTGTGTTCAAAGCCATGGCGTGTCTCGTCAGAAAAGAGATTCATACCGGCCAAGCACTCCTCCGCAACCTTCCTCCACTCTTGTTCTCCGTAAGTAATGTACCACTGATCAGTCAAAGCCACGACACACTCATCCCCAGATCGCGACATGACCTTCTTTTCAGGCTCACTATAAACAACAGCTTGCTCGGACTCAAGAAGCTTGCTCCTAATCATACTCTTCGCCTCCTGAACTTTCATTCCGGAGAACTCACCAACAATCAATGTTCCCTCGTAGAAACCTCCCTTGTAGATAATTTTCTTGGCCTCATCCAGCTTCTCCCTCTCATTCTGGCTTTTGATTTTTTTCTCAATACAGATTCTCTCTGCAGACTTGTCTCCAAAATCGGGGTGATGGATGATGGGTATTATCTCAAATGGCAGAACCCATTCATCCTTCACTCCATATTTCGCTCTGAATGCTGGCTTTGCTTTCAAATCATGAAGGGCCATGTAGTCGTCAGGAGAGTCGCTCGGAACACTAGTAACAATTCCAGTACCCTTGTCAGTGAGGACTGATAACATCGGCAGTGTATAGATAACTTCATTAAATGCTAACGGAGATTTCAGAGGCAAACCGATGAGATCCTGGCCAGTCAACTCAACTAAACAGGTAGGCTTCTCAGGAACACGAGATAGATTCTGATAAGCCAAATTCAGAGCTGCCCTTTTCGTCAAGATAAACACATCTGTGTCGTTGATTTCAAAGGCCCCATATTTACCATCTGGCAACACCCAACAATTTGTCTGCCCGTACATCGTCTCTGGTCTCAATGTTGCAGCAGCAAGATACACCTTCTTTCCTTCCAGAGCACTCATCTTGGGCGGGAAAGGTGAGACAACCTCCATTTTAATGAGAGTGTATTCCTGGGGAATAACACCTTCCCCCGAAGCTCGATCATGATCTGCACAGGGCTGACCATCCAACGGAGAATATATAGCATATCTCAAGTCTTTTACAATCTTCCCCAATTCTTTCAACTTCCTAACCTGCCACCTGACAAACGAATCATAATATGGATTCATGTCAGTGGTAATGAACGAACGCCTCCAGTCACATCCTAACCCAAAGGCTTTCAGATCCTCCACAGCCAGAGGTGGAAAAAATGTCAGCCAATGATAAGGGTTAGTGAACTTGGCTATCTCCTCATCAGACAAACCGTAACTCCTCATAATCTCCCACTGATACTTTACACTGCCAGTCTTAGCAACAGCCTTGGATTTTTTACCCTTGAACTTACCTCCTTGTGGAGCCTGATTCCCCTGACCTTCAGATTCGGGTTTCTCCTCCGGTTCGCCACTTTCCTCTTTAACAACAGGAAACACAGGTGGATTTCCAAACATCTCGATCTCCCTGGCAAGCTTATCAGCTGACGCCTTTATCGGCATTCCAGTACAATGGAAAGCAAATGGCAATAGGACATTGGCTCCCCTCAATCTGTGGAAGGATGCAGCGAATTCGAGCTTTGAAAGGGTAAATGCATGACCTAAGTGTAGATACCCATTCATGTATGGGAATGGAAAGTTGCCAAAAAACTTCTCGCCATCCTTCGGCAGCTGATCCTTGGGTTCTGCTCGGAACACATCACCCTCCAGCCACCAATTCCGAACCTGAGACTCGATTGCTAGAAGACGATCTCTGCGTGCAAAGCTTTTTCCTGTTTCTTCTGCCATTTGTCCCAAAGCTAGTTCACAAAAGCTATGACTGCAAAGTGGAAAGGCGACCTATAAATAAACTACACAAGCCATATTGGCACAAATAAAAAGAACCACAAATTCCTAAAAGCCATACATGCACAGAGATGAAGATCTATGAAACAACTGAAAGAAACATTGAATTATTGAGAAACTGCCACAATAATGGAAAATTACATACAGCAGGTGCACACCCAAAGTTCACTCATTTCCCTCAACGCAGCCATAAAGATCAATACATACTAACAGTTCGTCCTACAAATTCAGAGGCGAACAAAAATAGGGAAAAATTATTAACATGACACGACAGTTGGCATAAAATCCATCACCAATCAAACCAAAATTATCCCAATTTTCATGCTTCCAATCTATAATAACAAAAAGCAATATATATGTATATATGAATATTTTCTAATTGCTAAATCAGATCCATAAAAAGCAATTAACTCCCCAATTCACCGATTTCGAGAAAATACTTAATCCGAAAAAGCCAAAACCCCATCCAAGATGAATTAAGAAATGACGAGCAAACGAAAAATGAAATGAAACGAAACAAAACAGGTAAGAAATAAGAAACAAACCGTAATTCCCAATATATAGTTGGGAAAGGATGACAAGCAGCAGCAGCAGCAGCAGCAGCTCCGGGACGATAACCAGCAATTCGTCGCAGCAGTGAAGCAGACGCCACCGCTGTAGATTGGGGAGATAAGACGAAACTCAGCGAATTAGGGTTTTTGTGTGTCTGCGCCTCAACTAGTGACATCAATTAGACACACCCAACCGGTTTCGAACCGGCCGCCGGTTCAGGTTATTATTATTTATTCCTACAATTAATAAAAATGTAGGATCTAACCGTGGTTCGCTCTGCCCTTCGGAGTCTCTTTAGTTCGAGGGTTTAAGAGGGGAGGGGTAAAAAAGGAATAAAATTCTAAAAAAATTTATGTTTGGTTCAATTTTTTTAAAGGAAAAAGGAGTTAATATTTTTAGATTTTTATTTTTCGTTCAATTTTGGACAATTTAGAAGAAAAAGATTTTATTAAATACTTTTTTTTATTTACTTGTCTATTATATTATTTTTAATATTTTATTAAAAAATTTATAACATTTTTAAATTGTAATATTTATTTATTGTATTTTTAATTATCCAATAAATATTAATGTATATTATGCATATATCCAAATTGCATTACATATTTTAAAATATTTTAAATTAAAATTTTCATTAAATATAGTTATAATATTTTAAAAAATAATATATAAAATTATATATAATTTGAAAAAGTAAATAAATAATTTTAAATTGGTTTTAGTTTTAAATGATTGTACTTAATTTTAAGTTTAATAGTTGATTTTATCAAATAAATATATTTTAAAATTTACATAAATTATTAGATTAATTTTTATAACTGATTTAGTTTATATAAATTTTACCATATCTATTATTATATTTGTATATAAAATTATTATTTTTTTGAATTAATTTTAATTAATTCAATTTAAATGGTTTGATTTAGTTTAATAATTAATTTAATTTATACAAGTAAATTTGAATTTGACACGATAAGATAGGACTTGTTCTTTATTATATACTTAATCTATATGATTTTCTGGTATGTTATTACTATTTATAAGTAAATTGTGGTTTATCTGAATTTGTAATATTAATAAATATCGACTGTATGAATAATCCAGATTAATTTAGAGCAATTATTAAATGTTCACCCGAAGCACGCAAAATAGTCATTATGTATATGATGTTTAGTTCTTCCGATACTTTATAATATAGTTTTTATTTTATTATATTAGACAAATAATTTTGTGTAATGCTTTATGAATAAAGTAATCAAATTTTATTGAAAACTTTTATTTTTTCTATTTATATTTTATATAATATTGAGACAAAATAGAAAAATTATTCCAATTGCCTAACCAAACACCAAAATAATAATAGAAAAATATATTATTTTTTTTTATATCAACCAAACACAATATTATAATTTTAATATTCTCTTACTTCCCTTTCATTAAGGAGGAAAGAAAGAAGAATAAAGAGGAAGATAGGGGCGTGGATCGGCCGCTGTACTGTACTGTTGTGTTTTAGGGTAAAAATGTAGTTTGCTTAAAATAATTATATTGGCTTTTTAGCAGTTTTGTTGGGACAGGAGAATAAAATTTATAATATTGTAATATAATAATAAATATGTAAAATTAAAATGAAAATATTATTAAAAAGTTACTTAAAAAAATAATAATGATAAATTATTTATTAATTATCAAAATATAAATAATAAAATTAAGAATAACAACACAGTAAAAAATTATCCTTCGTCAGTCCTCCCACAGTATTATGTTAAATGTTTTTTGTCCGTTCCGTAGATTTCAGTTTTTTTTAAAAAGAATTATTCATTTTATTTTATTTTAAATTTTTAATTTATAATTTTTTAAATTTTAATTAGATTAATTAATTATATTAATTTTAATTTATAATTATTTTTACTAATATACTCTTAAATATTACTAATTATAACTCATAAAAATTTCTGTATCAACCGTAAAACGAACATAATAGCCGAACATAATAACTGAGACGGGGAAGTAAACATTTAAAATGGAAAAAAGTAATTTTTTTTAACAATATTTATAATTTTTTTAACAATATTGGATTAGATTTTCAATATTCATCCCATTTTTTCCCCCAAAAAAATCAAATCAAAACACCTATTTTTCATTTTTTATATTATACTAAAAATCAATTTTACATTCAAAATATCACATCAACGCTTATTTACATAGACAGACCCATAACTGATTCAAATATTTAAATGCATTATTTAGCACACAGTAAATTGCATTAATTTTCCACATGCTCCCTTAATGCAAATTTACCTCGACGATGCCAAGATCCGGAATATGGTTGCATCATTCAATAACTTATCTTATCTCTAGATAATTTCAGATAAGATTTGATAGGGTGGTATTGTGTTTGAATCCTCAATCTAAAACTTTTAACTTCTTAAAATACTCAATTTGTGAAATAAAATAACCGTTAGAGAAATTTCTTAATTTCTAAACCAAGAAAACATTTAGCTTCCCCCATGCATTTCATCTCAAAACGGAGAGAGATATCATCTTGAAAACAAGTGATTTCAACGTGATTATCACCTATGATGATCATGTCGTCCACATACAACAAAAGCAAGATACATGTCAGAGGTTGTTTTTCGAATGAATAGACCAGAATATGCATTTGACGGTTTAAAACCACAAAAGATAAGGTATTGAGATATTTCCATACCATGCACGTAGGGCTTGCTTTAAACCATATATAGCTTTCTTGAGTCGACAAACATGATTTGGAAATTTAGAGGATACAAAGCCACAAGGTTGTTCTATAAAAATATCACGATCTAAGTCCCCATAAAGGAAGGTGATCAAAGATTTTTAGAGAGATTTAAAAATATCTTTTAAAATACAAAAAAAATTGATATATGTATAAAATGAAAATAGTTTCGTGTGTGTTCGTGTAGTAACTCCAAAAACTTCGTCAAAAGAAAAAATCTCTTTAACCGATGAGTGTCCGGATCGAACTCAGGGAATATGCGAATATCCTATATTTAATTAGAAAAAAAGTGCAATGAGTTAATGCAATCGAGGAACTGAAAAAATAAATTGCAGAAAATAAATTTAACTAAAAAGCAATAAAATATACGTATCACAAAAAGGATGAAGCGAGGTGTTTGTGTCTGAATTTTGCTTTCTTTAATGGCTATATTTCCATAGATGAAATGAGCGGGATGACGATGGCGTGATAGTGGAAAATATATGTATAATTGCGGGGTGGCCCGGAGGAATGAACGCGATCGCATTTACTCGCTTAAACCGATTCTCAACTCAGTTGGTACTTGACCTTAGAGGATTTACAACGAGGCTTCAGCGACACTCGGCGAAGAACATTATAAGTAAGATACTCTACTGTCACTAGAAATTTATGTGACCCAATAGACCACCGCCTATACCCCATGAATTATTCTTCCAACCGTTCCGCTAGTGGCTCTACCCTTCTTATACCTCTCTTTAATCAGAATCAAATTCAGAATAGCAACTAAGTAAGTCGACGAGGCTCCCACGTACTTAGCTACGTTGAACTACCTGGAATCTGTTTGTGATACGAAACAGGGCTGAAATAGTTGATTCTTCTATTACCCTTCCGCAACCTTGCCGAAATCTAACTTTAACAATTCAAAACGAACATAAAATTTTTGGGTGAATGTGAGGTGGATAAGTATTATAGGAATTTTACTAGCTAAAATAATATGCAAGAATTAAAAGAAAATGAGGAGAAAATCAGTTTGCTCGCGATACAAAATCGAAAATCTCGTATTATTAAACTAGATACAAATATGAGAGAAAAGAAATGAAGAAAATAGAGTGTATGGAATGTATATTATTATGTATATATGGTGTATATGTGTGTAATTAGAGAGAATATTTATAGGGGGAAAAGCTTCTAAAAGCTTCGCGGTTACAACCGTCCATAAATAACTACTTCTAAAAATAACTACTAACTACCTCTAAAAATAACCATAAATAACTATCTATAAAAATAGGTACTAACTACCTCTAAAAATAATCATAAATAACTACCTCTAAAAATAGCAACTAAATCCATCCGCAATGGAGATACCCGCTTTTGAGTATCTCCACTACTTTTTGTTATTCACGTCACTTTCTCTCTCTGTCACGTCAGCGGAGATACTTTCTTCTATTTTATATTCGCAACAAAGATACTCATCCTAATTTTTTAATAATTTTTTTATTTTCATATTATATATATATATTATTTTTCAATTATAGTTTTAATTTTTAGTATTAATTATTTATGTATGTATAATTATAGTTTTAATTTTTTAGTATTAATTATTTTTAATATCTTATTATTAATTATGTATGTATAATTAATTATAAACTAAATATATTTATTGTTTAATATAATTTTATATTATTTAATTACTTTAAAATTTATAATTATATTTTATTTAATAAATTAAATTTATTAATATTGATTTGGTCAATAGAATTATATAATATTTGTATTTATATATTTAAAATTTTAAATTGATAAAATATATTCAATATTGATATCATTTTGTAGAATACAAAATATTATGAATTATAAAAATATTACAAAATTTAAATATAACAATGAATTCAATATAAATTAAAAAAACAAAACATATATAATATATATCATATATATACATAAGTCTCATGTGTCCAAATTAAATTGGGACATATGACAATTGGATAACATCTTGCCAGCATCTCTGAGGAAATGTTGAGAAGCAATATATCTATCAATTTTTATTTTTATTTTTTTAAAAATAGTGATGTGGCGCATCTCCTTAGGAGATGCGTCCGTTGCGAATGGTCTAATATAACTACTAATAATTTACTTAAATTACCTAATTTTTAGAGAGTTTTAGAATAAATATTACACAAAAATAGCGAAAAATTGGCTAAGTGATGATGCAAGAATTAAATATGGGAGCTGAGAGAGTGCAGGGTGACTGGAATAAATGCACGAGCTGAGAGAGGTTGGGCAAATTTATGCAGCTACCGCTTGTTTTCCGCATAGCCGCCATCGCTCACTTTCATGCAGAGATTTTCGCTCTACTCACGTTTCCGTGCAGCCGCCGCTCACGGAGTCCGCGCTAGCCGCGATCGCTTACTGCGTTCATAAATGCAACCGTCGCTTGTCTTCCGCGCCGGTGACTGTTTTTTTTCGCTCGTGAAGCCATTTTTGCTTTTTAAAGCCAGTTTTGAACTCTCAAACAAGTTTTCAAACATTATTTCACCTGTATAAATAATAAACACCTTATAAATATTTATTTAAATAAATAATAAATAAAATTAATTTAGCCAAAATTAAATACTTAAATAGCATATAAATAATGTTTAAAAATATAATTTAAAAAACGCATCACTTAATTTAAATTATACACCAAAATAATTATAAATTACACCTAAAAATTAATAAATTAATATTATACACGCAAGATGAAATAAATATAATTATTAGAGTAAATTAACATAAATAATACCAAAATTCGACATAAATAAATAATTAATTAAATAAATATAAGCTATAAAATATGGCAAAATCAATAGTTATCAAAAGGCATTCTTCACATCTAATTGTCACAATTTCCAATCTTTGCAGGCAGCAAAAGAAATAATAGTTCAAACCGTTACCGTTTGCGCCACAGGGCTGAATGTCTCATCATAATCTTGGTCATACTTTTGGAAAAATCCACGAGCAACAAGACGTACCTTATATCTGTAGATTTTTCTATCAGTCCCTTCTTAGCTTTAAAACTCACTTGCAAGAGATTAACTCAACGCCCTTCGGTTTGGGTACCAAATCCCATGTATTATTCTTGTTTAGAGCTTAAATCTCTTCCTGCATTACTTCCTCCCATTTTGGAGTCCCTTTGGCTTCATTATAAGATTTTGGTTCATCATCTGAATGTTGTCCCATGAACATACAAGAAATGATAGAAAATTGATTTGCTTTAACATGATAATCTGTTAAGTAATTTGGTGTTTTCCGTTATCTTATTCCTCTCCGTGGAGCACCAACAACATCCACATTTATTTGTACGTCTTTCTCAACTAAAGGAATATTACTCTATTAATTTCCATGTGATGGAAACACATCATTATCCTGAGAATCACACTGCATATTATCTTCAAACAATTGAACATTTCCTTGTTCTTTTCTGTGCAACAGAAAAATAACATTGATCTGGCCTCCATTATCTTTGAAGGTATTTGATAAAATTTCATCAAACACAACATCATGAGATACAATAATATTTTTTGTGTCCGGATCCATGCACCTCCAACCTTTCTTTTGTGCATCATAGCCAACAAAAATGCAACGTCTGGCCTTTGGATCAAGTTTAGTTCGATTTTTCTTGGGTATATGAACAAAACAAGTAGATCAAAAAACTCGAAAATTACTTACATCTGGCTTACTATGATACAACAACCGGAAAGGAGACGGTTCGTACCTTGGCCAAGACGGAAGACGATTAATCACATAACACGTTGTGTGAATAACGGCTGCCCACAACTCTTTTAGGAGACCTTTTTCGTGTATCCAACATAAGCACATGGATGTCAGATGCGCTACCTTCCGTTCCACAACACTATTTTGTTGAGGTGTATCTAGACATGTCATTTTATGTTGGATCTCATGTTCTTTACAAGAATCTAAGAATTCTATCGATAAGAATTCTTCACCATGTTATATTCCTTTAATAGAGAAAATAATTAATTATATTCTTTTTTAGTATGAAGAAAAAAAATTAGTGAACAATAAAATTCTGCTAAAATTTTATAAAAGAATACATCTGCAACACATAATTTATATTAATATAATATAAATATAACATATAAATCGAAAGAACATAATACTTGTGAATACAATGTATATTACAATTGATTTTAACAAATAAAATATATTTATGCATAATTTCAATTATTACCTATTTATGATATATTGACAAAAATAAAATAAAATAAATTAACATTCCAATCAGCACACCCTAAATTATTTTACACTTTCTCTTGCCATCTCTCTTACAAATACAAACCTACACTTCTCTCCTACCCTTGCATTCAAAAGCCGATATGTCAATTCTGTTTTCGGGTCGAATTTGTATCAGGTTGAGGCATGGGTATAACAAAAAACTGTTAATTCGAACTCGGAATTTGATCCAAAACCCTAATCTGAACATGAAAAAAATATTTGGGTCAGGTCGAGAGTGACCTGATTTAGTTTCAAATCACTTCAAACTCAAACAAATCCGACATAAAACAGATCCGAAATTTTTTTTTTTAAAAAATTAACTTTACCTTAAAAAAATTTATTTTTAATCTAATTTTTTATATTATTTTATATTTAATAGTATATATATATTATAAGTTAAAATAATAATAATAAATAATTTTAGGTCCATCCGAAACCATTCCTTATCCATTTCACTTTCTCCTACTCAACATAAACTATCCAGTGCATATGCTCTTATTTCTATTACTTTGTCAAATGATACATGTTAGCTGGTCGTTTGGAAGGTTGGATTTGTTAAATTGTCTTTTGAGTTTTTTTCTTTTTCGGTATTATTTATTTTTAAAGTATTTATTAAATTATTATGTAAAAAAATATTTTAACTAAAATTTTAATTATAATATCCCCAAAACACATAAACAAATCTCACTCAAATTATTGTTGTTGATTTTAAGAATAGTTTAGTATATCGAAAATATCTGACTATATTGCATAATATACTAAATTTTTCAATATGTTAAAAGTAATATCAACGAAATATCGAGAATTTGGTATTAATTCAAAAGGACAAATTATATACTACAGACGAACCATGCGTGGCAAAAGGCGTCAAACCATTTCTTACGAAACTAATATACAATATTTTTAAGACTATATATATATATATATCGTACCAAAAATTTAATATTTTCAGTATGGTATGTTCGATATTTCAATATAATATATATTCACTCCTAGTTGACTTTGCAATTTTAACAATGTTTTTTGCTACTATGCAATCTTTGTACTAAAAGAAAATCCAATTAAATGAAACATACATTAAAACATTGTGTTTGGTTTGTATTCGTAAATCTAATTTTGTTATCATTAAATAAAATAATAGTTAAATAGTTATGTTTCTTAAAAAAATTATTTTGATTTGGACACGAGTTTGAATGTAACGTAATTTTTATTTTTAAAGTTAAAAAAAAAAGTAAAAAGTGATATAATTTTTATTTTAGAAAAATCAGATCTACTTTTTAACGGAGGCTATATTTATACTTCTTTTCACATAAGAACATATGAGATTCAACTTAATAACTTATGTATTTTTAGTAAAAATATACTATCTCTGTCCGACTATAACGTCTCATTTACTTTTGTGTGTTGATATTTGAATATTAATTATTATATCATTATGTAGTCGAAATTTAAAAAAATAGAAAAATACTTCTATTAAGATACTAATAAAAGGATATTTGTAAAAAAAATATATATAAATATAAAAATATTTTTATATTAAGTACAAAGAGAGTATAAAACACCTCGTGTAATTATTATGTAAAATTTTCTTGTGTTTGAATTAAAATTTGCACAAAATATCATTTTCGTTTAAAAAATATGTTTTAATGTGAATACAAACCTAATTATACAAATTTTATAAAATTTAAAACAATAAATATATTAAATGACATGTTTTAAATAAGATAAATAGTTAAATAATTGCTTAATCCTTCAATTCTATAAAAAATAAATATCTTTATTTTTATTCTAAAACATTTTATGTTTTTTTATTTATATGGAACTAGTGTTTTGCCCAAACTTTAATTCAACACAAACATTTTGTTATTTTTAACTTAAAAACATGTGTTATACTCGCTAAGTCCAAATCCGCCACTAATGAAAGTATTTTGTAATTTTTTTTTTTTTAAATTTGTAATATATTTTAATATAATAATTAATATTTAAAGATAAACATACAAAAAAATTAAATGAGACATTTTAAGAGACGGGCGGAGGTAATTTACAAAAAAAAAAAAGAAAAAAGAAAAAATTGGGTACGCGAAACAAGTAGAAAGAAGAAATGACGTGAAATGCATGAAATTAATTTTTAGACAACCAAAGTCAGCTAAAATTTGGATGCATTACCAACAAAGAAATGCAAATCTCTGCTAAATTGCTAACGCTACCTCTTTTTCCAGATTCTCAGCAACCTATACTATTCTATATTATATATATAAGATTACCTTTTGCTACAACAACAATGGATAATTGTTGTGTTCATCCAGCTTTGCCCTGCCCTTGTCGCCCACCGACGCCGCAATCACCGCCCTCTCGTCCCTCCTGAAAGTTCACCTCCAAAGTGAACCACATTCGTCACAACTATCTATCTAGTCGAAAAGCCCCTCGTCTTGCCAAATATCGACCAAAAAGTCAACCATTTCCTACAAATGAATCGAAGAGCGACACATGAGAGAGCATGTTATTCATTGGAGTGAGATATGTGGGCTGAATGAATTTTATAATTTAGCACAATATTAACAACAAACAACACATTATATGACAACGGACAATACACGATACAACAACAAGCAACGCACAATTTATGTTAATATAAGACAAAAAACGACAATTATCTATACAATAATACTATTATCGATGTCAACGCACAAACTATGCTCATACAACACCACTCTCTAAGTATTTTATAGTCGGTACATAATTTCAATTAGCACATCATGTGCTAAGTTGATTGAAACTTTACTCGTAAGATTTTGATTTTGGGTTTTGGTTTAAAATAGTAAAATTTCGAATTGAAACAGTTATTTGATGTGATATTTTGAACGTAAAATGAAATTTTTGTATAATATAATAAATATAATAGGTGTTTGCTTTGATGTTTTTTTTTTTAGGAAAAAAAAAAGTTGAAATAGTAAAATCACGGAAAAAAACCCTACAAGTAAACAGACCCTATGTGTTTTCGGCATATTTCTTATGTGCTGATTGGAACAAATTAAATTAATGTCATACTAATAGCCTCAATCAATACAGTAACCTATCCCGAAATATGTGTAGGCTACATTGTGTGAAATCTCGTTATATAACCATAAACTCTATATAGAATACTCTTCTCGTTTATAAATAATTACGACTAAAAATCATTTAGTCTCTCGTGCAATAAATAATATACTATAACGCATTCTATACACTTATAATAAAATATAAAGATGTCAAGTTAGGGTGTGCTTGTTTAGAAGATTTCCAAGGATTTTAATTATACACAAAAAAATTTTCCCCAAACAACATCAATTAAATACTCCATCCGTCTCAGAATATAGTCTTAGTTGGGTTGGACACGGGATTTAAAAAATATTGTTATTATATTGGTAGTTGGTAAAAAGTATAGGTAAAAGACTTTTTTTGCCTTTTTGAGTATATTAGTGTAAAAAGTAATAGCAATTGTGTAATAAAAATAAAAAAGTAGGGATAGTTATGATTATTTATGGAAATAAACTATTGTTTTGGACAGACAAAAATGGTAAACAAGACTATGTATTGAGACGGAGGGAGTATCTATTTTTTATTTTTTATATTATGCTAAAAATTAATTTTACATTCAAAATATCACATCATACAACTATTCAAATTCAAAATTTTACTATTCAAATCCCAACTCAAAATTCAAACCCCCAAACAAACACACCTTTAAAGCATTCTTTGAACTTGTCTACTTAATTGAATGGGCTTGAAAACTCAAAATCATTAATAGCACAGGCTGAAAGGTAATGAGTGAATGCTCTTACAGGTAAAGGTATCCGCTCGGGGAAAGGTTCGTGGTTTGAGAGCAACTCTTCATAAGTCGTCGACCAGCTGCAAGAAAAGGGCAACCGAGCGTCACTATTTACGGTGGTGGACAACAAACCAATGAAGAGAAATTGCGGCATGGAGAAAAATTCAAGCTTCTTTATTAGCTTAGAGTTTACCTTATAATCGGATCCTTCATCGTCCTTTCTGGCCTATGAGACACATTCCCGACCCATTTTCTTCTGATCTCGTTCCAAGCAATCTCGGCTACACCAGCAAAGCAAATTCAATTCAGACACACCATACTTGCAAGAAAAGAACAGTGCGCAAATACCGTGATTCACGAACACAGAAGTGCTGGCGCTATTCTCAGACAGCTTTCTGTTTTCGTTGGAGGGTGTGGAATTCTCCGGAGGTCGCTTCTCGTTGTCATTGGGAGCTCTGCCTTTGCCTTCCATGATGTCTGGAGTGAAAAACCATTCCCTTTTAGTTGTTGTCTGAAATTGCGACAGTAAACTTTCCTTACAGACACTTGTGGTATGGTTGACTAATGCCAAGTCAGCTTAGCAAAGAAACAATTATCTGCGGAAAGAGAGTATCTTCAAATAAGTCGATTGAAGCAATAACCAAATTCATGATCCAATTCGGTATAAAATAAAACTAGCAGCCACATACAAGATCTGATTATAACGATCTCCAAATTGGATTCGGAACATTAATAAAACAAGCAGCAGAGCAATCTCAGAAATTGTGCATAACTAAAGAAAAATAAGAACACGACGAGCTCAAACACATTAATCATTCCATTTGAATCATTCTTAGGATTCTCATGAGCACACGTAGCCAACATACTAGTTAAAATGACTAATTGCCGCAGAGAAAATATCACAACCAATTCATGCTTTACATAGTTACCAAGAATTGCTTATGAGTTCTTAAAGGCCCCCGAGTAATACTTCATTGAAATTAGCCAATGCAACCATGATCGGCACACTTACTTCAAATAACACGCGCATTCACTCACAATTACACATACAATATGATCATCCAACCGAAATTTCCTCAACACTTAAACACAACATATACATACATACATACATACATACATACATACATACAATTCCTCGGAATAAAACAAGTAAACTAATGTAATAATTCAACTATGAGAAAAAAATATCCTTACAATTAAAGCCTAAATAAAACTGTCTATGACAATTTTGAAACATTTGTCACTATTCACTAACATTAAACATCACAAGTAATTTTTAACATTTTCACAAAAAATCACATAAAATACAAACTCCAAAACTTCTATCTAAGCAGAGTAATTTTCTTGGCATCAGCCAAGATTCACTCATAAAATACATTCTTGTTCACTTATTTTATTCTCCCTTTACCCATCCCTTCAACAAAACTATATCTTGTTTGATACTTCACATCTCTCATAGATCTTCGATTCAATCAAAGATTGAACTTTTTATTGGCACTCTCAAAACCGAAACGTATCCGCTCCACCAAAGGTTCTTGCACTTGAAATCACCAAATCCTGACAAGCCCCATTGTGTAGAGACAGAAACAGAACTACATTCGAACATTATTGCTACAGCATTATTTAGGGCAAGAACTAAAATCTTCTACAAGCACAAATTTCATACAAATTTTTCAAGAAAACGAAAAGGGACTTCCAAAAATTCGATCATAAGCTCCAAAAACCCCCCAAACAGGGGTGGACTTAAAATTCGAGGAGATCACAGCATCTGAAACAAGAAAGAATCACCAAAAGAAGGTACAATCGCAGAGAAAGGAGCAAGAAACCAAAACCCAAAACAGAAAAATAAAAATAAAATAAAGAAGACACCAGAAAAGAAAAGGAGTTACCCGTAGTGGTGGTTGTGGGCTTTTTCTCTCTCTCTCTCTAGAAAGGGCAAGCACGAAGAGGAAAGAAAGAAAGTAGGTTGGGGAAGAGGGCCTAAATATATAGGCAGAATGTGGGCCCTGATATCAATAATTGAACAGGTTGTAGGGATATCGATTTCTTGGTTTGGTTCACCCACCCTATGGATTCCTTCTCTTTCTCTCTCTATCTTTTCTCTCTCTCTGGTTTGTCCGTTTGTGGGTGACGCGGAATTTGGCTCTTTGGAATGGACCTATTGAATTGGATTATTAGCCCGAGATTGCCACCATGGTTCACGTGGTCGGTGGAAATGACTATTTTGGGATATCGTTGTGGGTGTAGGGGAGGGGTGATTTGGTCAATTTACATAGGTTAGGACAGAAGGGAGCGACAACATTGTCAGATGTGGAAATTTGAGGCACCGATAGCAAAGTGCCATGGTACGTACGGTGCACTGCACTGGGCCCAGCCTTACGACTCCTTTAAAATTTAAATATATTTTTGGGTATTACTATTTTTTAATTTTAAAATTTAATATTGTTATTTTTGTCATTAGATTTATTTATTAATTAATTATTTATATAATACTTCTCCGTTCCAGAAAATATATTATATTAGAAGTGGACACGAAAATTAAGGAATAATAATATGTAATTAAAAGTGAGTATAAAGTAGAAGATAAAATACTAAAATATCTTTATTTTTTGAATGATTTAAAAAATATATTAGAGTAATAATTAGGGATAATTTGAAAAAATATTAAGAATTTTGTTATTAAGTGGGGACCATAATTATTAAATAAGGAAACAAGATAATTGTTTTGGAACTGACGAAAATGAAAAAACTAAACAACTCTATTGGGACATAAGAAGTAATATATTTTATAATTTAAAAAAAAAATAAAAAATATTTTGATATCAATGTATGATTACTTTTATTGAAATAAGAAATAAATACCTTTGAATTTGAATGTGAGAGAAAGAAATATTACTCTTTTTATTCAAATTTAACATTTTTTTATTCTACTCTAAAAGAAGAGTATTATTTTATTTTATTTTTCTCAAAATAAGTGTGCCTTAATTTAGAGTATCAGTTATAGTCACTATCTTTACTTCATTATCTTTTATATCTCTCTTATTCACGTCATATTTATTTTTAATATTTCAATTATTTTATTTATCAAATCACCTCTAACACATTACCTTTATTATTTATTAAATCAACAATAAATTTATCTATTTCTCTATATTTTTAGTATGTAATAATTTATTTATTAATACATATTTCTATATATTTTTATTATCTAATACTATTTTTATATAATATTATATTTTAAAATTTAAATATTACTGCCTCCGTCCCACATGCCGTGTCTGTACACTGTAAAACGGTATTTTAGAAGGGGTGTAATTAGTAGATAATTAAGAATATATTAGTAAAAATAATTATTCGATAATATAAATAATTATAAATTAAGATTAAGATAACTAATTAGTTTAATTAAAATTTAAAAAAATTAAAATTAAAAAGTTTAAAATGAGATTAAAGTGTGTAATCATTTTTCAAAAAAAAAAAAAGAAAGTGACATGGTATGTGGGACGGACAAAAACGGCAACGTGGACATGATATGTGGGACGGAGGGAGTAATATATATAAATTTTAATAACTGAAAATATTCTAAATAAATCAACATATATATCAATTTAAAATAACATAAAAAAGAATCATAATATAATATAAATGTATAAAATAAATATATTACCAATATAACTTAGAAAATAATTTTTTTACTGTCAAACTTTGTCGAATAATTTAATTTAAAAACTGATTGAAAAGATCAATATTTTCATTAGTAATTTCATTTAATTGAATATGAAATGAAATTTAAATATATTTATAGATAATTTATGTTAAATTTAAATTTTAAAAATTTGAAATTTAAAATTTTTTGGAGAGTTTTTAATTTATTTATTTTTGTTAAAGGTAATGAGTTGTTTATAAAAGTAATAAATTTTGATAATTATATTTCTTATTAAAAGTAATGTGTTTTGTTATAATAAAAATTGAAAAGACAATGATAAATGTAACGAAAGAGAGTGACGGTAACGAATGTTCTTAGTCATTTTACCGCCTACTTAACATAATAAATATACTTATAATTTACAATTTAGTATAAAATTTCCTTATTTTATACTCTTATGTCTCATAACAAAGTATCTATTTTTTCGTTTTAGTCTGGCACATAACAAAGTATACATTTTCTTTTTTAGTAAATGTATTATCTACCTAACATTACAAATACCCTTACAACTTATAATATATTACACAAATGTCATTATTTTTATATCACACATATTAATAAGATTATTTTAGTCATTTCTATTTTATTCTTACTACATCCCAATATAATACTAATATTTCTAAAACTACGTAAAAAAATAAACAAATAGATATCTAGTTATAGGAAGGAGGGAGTATTATATAAGAGCATGGATTGGATGCTGATAAAATCATTGTTGAATTGTGTTGAATGTCTTACGGTAGTAATATTTTCTTTTTCACCATTAAATTTTATAAATAATATAATTAAAAGTAATTATAATTTAAGGTATTCTGCATTAGGTATTGAATTTAAATTAATAACTGATCCATGTCTATTATATAATGCTAATGTTTAAAAATCGAAAAGTAGAAAACGTCACTCTTCTTCCACAACGGAGAAACTATATTTTTTTATTATTTTCGTTCAATTCAAAAATATTATTTGAAATTATAGTAAAATAATTATATTTAAATATTAAAATATTCTTAATTTTTATAAAAGATATTTATTTGTTCCGTAAGAATAAAAATATCAAAATCATTTTATATGTTTTTACTAAATAAAATCTTAAAATTATTTTTTAATTTACTAAAAAAAAAACAAATGAATACTTAAATTTGATTATAATGTAATTAACAATAATTATAATTTTTGTTTAACGTTTTCATTTGAATTTTTTTAAAATATAAACTATAGAGAATTGTGTCCGTTTAAAAAATAATATTTTGAGTTAAATATTAATTTTTGTGAAATAATAAATATATATTAAAAATCGTGTCGAAAAAAATACGTAAGCAAACACACTTAATAGGTGGGGAAAATATTTTTACTTATCAAATTTTCAGCTAGCCCGAAACTTGACAAGGTTTAAAAAATTTTGAAATTAATAAGCCCCTTGATATAAAAATAAAAGTAACACATCTCTACTTTTAATTAAAGTGTATTGTGATCTTTTATGGTATAATATACTTAGTTTTTCGACATTAATTTAGGCCCGTTCGAAGCCCGGCCACAGCCCATCCATGTAAACCATAGTAATTTCCTCTTATATGGTACACCCTTCGTCTCATATACCGTGTCTGCTACACTGTGTACACGGTATTTTAGGAGGAGTGTAATTAGTAGATAATTAAGAATGTATTAGTGAAAATAATTATCCTATAATATTAATAATTATAAATTAAGATTAAGATAACTAATTAGTTTAATTAAAATTAAAAAATAATAAATTAAAAAGTTTAAAATGAGATTAAAGTGCGTAATAATTTTCCAAAAAAGAAAAATGACATGGAATGTAGGACGGACAAAAACGACAACGTAGACATGGTATGTGGGACGGAGGGAGTATATACATATAAATATATAAACGGACCAAAGCACTTGACCAATCGATGACTACCAACATCCTCGAATGCAAATTACAATACTATTCGGGGCATAAGTAGGCAAGTTTTAAGGGCGACAAACAAACTGCATGTTGGAACTTATCCGAAATTTAATTCTAAGCTTATATCTGTTGTGTTGAAATAATTGAGATAATAAATAAAGCCATTAGGTTGTATTTGGTATAGAGAAATGATGTCAGAGAAATGTACTTAAGAAATAAATTATTTCTATTTCTCTAATTTTATTTCTCTCTCAAATGCAAGTAAATAGAGAAAAATGATGTTGCAGTATATTTTTTTAATTTATTTTTATCTTTTTTTGTATTATAAAATTTTTATAATTTTTTAAAAATTATATTATTTCAATTTTACAAAAATCAAAGTATTTAATTTTTACGATCTTTTAAGAAATTGTATTAAATATAATCTTAAAAAACATCGTATATAATTTATAATTTTTTTTTAAAAAAAGTCACCAAAAATATTTTTCATGAATTCTCGTTCATGAATTTTTTTTATTTGGTTTATCATTTATTCTTGTTTGATCCATTCATATAGCTGCCTTTTTTTGTATTTGTCAACCGAATTCTCTATTTGACCAAACAAGAGAATTCATTCTCATTCTCTATTCAGTTCTTTTTCTCTCAAATCTATTTTCTATTCTTATTTCTCTGCAATTCCCTTCTCTGTACCAAACGCCGTCTAACATGATTTCAATAGCGCATGCAAATTAGGATCTACAAATTGATGTAGGGTGCAACCCCTAAGATTTTTGCTGCTACTTTCACGCTGAGATATGAAAAGTAATGGATGTTGACTTGGGATCACAACCCTATTTATATCCCTTATTATTAATTGGTCTCATCACTCAATCAATAAGTTACCGGGTTTCTGCACATAGGAGACCCGCACTTATTAAATACATCTAAATCCAATAAATTAATAAATTACTTAATATAGACTTAATCTGACCGATAGTCCAAATAGTTCCATTTAACTGGATTTTTAATTCAACAATCTTCTACATGGGTAAATGTACACTGAATAACCTTATGAGCTTATGGAATTTTGCTATCAGATTCTTTAATGTATATTACCAATCTTATTTGTAAGTCACATCAGTACGGATCAAAATAGACATCACTGTATTTATCACAATGAGACTGATCAGTGGTCACAACATTAATATAACCTAAGATTCGATCAAGTGCGGATTCATATCATGGAAATTTTCATGTAATGTGATATTAACATGCCTATTTCCAATTGATCCACATTTACTTTAATTCAGAACAATTGAGTACTAAATTAAAATTGAATACTAAACAATGTATACTGAATACTGCAGTATAAAATAAAGTAACTTTAATAGTATTTCAAAATTACTAATTAACTCCCACTA